TCATAAAAATGGCTGTCCACACCCACACCCGGCGTGCAGTCTGTGATGTGAGTACTGACAGCCCAGTGGCCTTTGTTTTTGCTCATGTGTCTGATTTATTGTTATGGTCTCGGCTCCTCGTCTGCACCCTCCCAATACACCACCCAGGAGAGAGGACAGCACATGGACACTGAGGCAGTGAGGGGACCCGAGCCCAGACCCTGAGCACACAGAGGGGACGGGCCCCGACCGTCACTCCGTACAACTCATTCCTTGACATTCTGATGGGGATTCAGCTTACATTCCACTCTCAGACAAGAAACAGAAAAAGAGCTAGAACTATTCCCCTCAACACACACCCACAGGCACTGCAAATATTGATCTTTTTTTCCCCTCCAAGATCTGGCATTTTCTTCTCACAGAAAATGACTCCATCAATTTGTCTCTGGCCAAAACCAATGCTCTGGTGGTGCAAATACCTTGCTCTTTCTTCATAAAGCAGCTCTCTGATCAAAGGAGCAAATCTCTGCCAATCTGATGGTCATTGATCTCAGATGTGCCAGGTGAAACGAATCCCTTGTCATTACTTCCAAGTGAAGAACTCTGCTTGGCAGCACCTTGGAAAACAGTTAAAATCCCTTGCTGATGTGTGGAGAGAGGAGCACACCATCCAGACCCAGTAGGCGGGCTCCCCCTGCTGGTGAAGGACGTTATCACAAATGCAGAGAAAAGGAAGGATTTTTCAAAAAAAACGGTGCAATGAAACAGGTTAATGGAAAAAGCAATTTGCCTTTAAAAAGAAATAAAACGGTTGTCCTTTACCCCCTGGCTTGCCTTCCAGAATGTTTAAAACTTTCCAGCGTCATGTTAATTTATCTGCCATCAAGGAGTCCTTGTTTCATTAATCATCATGAAAAGCCATATTGATAGGAATTTACTATTGAGTAAGAAGAGTCTAAGAGACACCCTAGCCGGTTTAGCTCAGTGGATAGAGCATCGGCCTGTGGACCAAAGGATTCAGGGTTTGAGTCTGGTCAAGGGCATGTACCTCAGTTGCAGGCGCCTCCCCAACCCAGGCCCTGTTAAGGGCACATGCAGGAGGCAATTAATCAATGTGTTTCTCTCACATTTCTCTCTCTCTCTCTCTCTCTCAAATCAATGGAAAATTATCCTCTGGTGAGCATTAAAAAAGAAAGAAAGAAAGAAAGAAAGAAAGAAAGAAAGAAAGAAAGAAAGAAAGAAAGAAAGAAAGAAACGTGACACAGCATGGCCACACATATGCATGCTGTGACCATGATCCCAGGTGCCTACACAGTCCTCTATGTGGCACAAGAACCAGGTCTAACAAGTAAACAAGAACATAAGTGGCAGCATTTCCTCTACCAACATTTAGATTTTAGTTGTTGATATCTTGTACTTTAGCCTTTCTAATAGGTGTATAGAGGCATCTCTTCATGGTTTTATTTTCATCTTCCTAATGAGTAATTATTTCAAGCCATTAGGAAGAGCATCTTTCCATGTGCTTATTTGTTTTCTGCCCATCTTCACTGATTAAGTGTTTATTCAAGTGTTTTGTCCATTTTATAATTGGGTTGTGGTTTTTTATCATGGAATTTTTATTGTTCTTTGCATATTTTGATATTAAGTCATTTGTCATATATGTCACTTATGAATATTTAATCTTGTCCTGTAGCTTTTCTATTCATTTTCTTAATAGTGCCTTGCAAAACAGACATTTAAATTTTGATCAAGTCCTATGTACCAATTTTTTTCTTTTATGAGTAGTGTTTTTTGTATGAGGTGTGACTTTGGGTTGAGGTCAATTTTAAAAAATATGGATGTCCATTTGTTCCAATACCATTTGTTGAAAAGACTAATCTTTCTATGTTGAATTGACTTTGTGCCTTTGTCAAAAATCATCTGGTCATATGTGTGTAGGTCTATTTCTGGACCCTAGTGTATTCTATGATCTGCATGTCTGTCCCTCTTCCAACATCACCTGCTTGATGACTATAGAGACAGGAAATCTTAAAATCAAGTGTGGAATTTCCCTAACTTTATTCTTCTTTTTTACAGTTGTATGGTAGTGCTTTGGTCGTGTTTTTTACTGCAATTCCTTATGGTTTTAGAATCAGTTTGTAGGTGTCTAAACAAAACCTTGATGGGATTTTGATTGGAAATGCACTAAATCTGTAGATCAACATGGGAAGAACTGACATCTTCATTGTGTCAACAGTATGTCTCTCCATTTATTGAGGTCATCTTTGATTTCTTCCACTAGCATTTCCTGTATTTTAGCATAAAGATTCTTTAACTGTTTTGTTAGAATTATACCTAATATTTTGCTTCTTTGATGTTATTATATATGGTAGTGTTTGGGTGTTTTGTGTTTTTGGGTTTTTTTTTACTGTTAGCATATGGAAATATGATTGATGAAATGTTCTTTATGTAACAGGCCATTACAACTATAATATGATGATACAATTACAACTATGTGACTACATCACATTATCTGTGCAACTGACCATTTATACCCCAGAAGTCCATCCGAGTCTAGTCCAGAAACTCTTCCATAGACAGCAAAAGAATCGTGTAATTCCATGAACTCCGTTCTGTTTGCCTATGATCTCTTGTATGTTAGACTCTGGATTAACAGTGATCTGAATGGTGCACATTCAACAGGCGGTTAATATTCATTGCACAGCTAGTTCTGTGCTGAGCACCATACAGACCCATCGCCAGCCATTCCCATGAACCCGTCTGACCCCTGATTTCCTAGCTTTGAGGGATATAATGCAACCTACCAACTTCATGTGTCCTTAAAGGATTGAAGTTACTTTTCCCATTGGTGACCAATATATTCATTATAAAAATCAGAAAAATATAGCTTTTCTTTTAGCATTCAAAGCAGGCATGCATAATTCACATGTGAACAATATTATTATCTACATAGTACTTCCTTCACTATCTCACCACACAAATACATTTTAATGATATGAAACCTGCATGGTACGACTGAACATCTCATTTCTTTAAAAAATCTGTTTGCAAAGTTTAAGACATTATTTAGTTTAATCACTAAACTAAATTAAAGCTAGATATGCTTCTATAACTCAAAATGCAGTACACAGTGTGCAGAAAATGGTACATATACGAGTGACAGGTAAGTTGTACTAAATTTTAAGCTCTTTTAATTATTTCAAGCCATTAGATGGTATCTAATAAATAACTTCAGGCAAATTAGGCATTTAAAAATGTTTGTCTTAAAGTAAACAATTTAAATAGTTTCCTGGCTTCTCTGGGTTTTTGTTTTTGTTTGGTTTGGTGTGTTGTTGTTTTTTTATTCTTAAGTTTACACCCATTCTTTTATTGGCATAATTATTCAGACTAGTCAGTGAGTTCAGAAAGGCACTGGGTAAAGGCAAGATAACTTGAGGGGACCAAATTACTTAGGTTCTTGCCGCATCAGGAGGATAAGAAAAGAAGGACCGGCTGTTTCACCTACTGCTGACATCACAGTGCTCAAACACCTTAGCATCTGCTTCTGCCCACACTCTTGTGCCCACAGCATAACTCGGCGTCCTGTGGGTCCTAGGAACAGGAAGTATGAAGCCTGGGGTGGTGGGGAGAGGACCCGTCACATTACATAGCTGGTGCTCCAGTCTGAGGATGGGGATGGGTGAGCTGACAGGTCCCAGAACCCAGCAGGCTGCTGAGAGGGAGAAAGCCCACTTGAAGAGGGGCTGTGACAGAGGCCTAGGAGGGGAGTGAAGGCTGCAGGAAGCCCTGCGCAGAGGCTGTGCCCGTGGACACGTGGCCTAGTTTTGTAGCTGAGGGGCACAGTCCAGAGAGGGGCAGATTCCCAGCAAAGAGGGGGCGCTGTGGGCAGAGCGGCTCCTGTTCAGAAGTGCTCTCCGTGGGCCAGCACTGGTGGCCACTGGACATGAGGAAGGGGCTGTTTCCGAACCTGTTCTGACCACCGTGGGGAGAATAGCTGGGAAGGACGACAGGGACGATGCAAGGCCATCAGTGTGAAGCCTGGTCTCCAGGAGGACGGGACGAGGAGCGACTTTACAGTTGAAGCGTGCGGCAGGGACCAGACAGTCACGGGGAAGCCGAGAGAGCCAGCATCGCACAGGAGGCTGGGCCTGTGCATGGCCCCCTTGTTCAGAGGCCAGCGAGGTGGCCAGTCCCCTCAGAGCTAAGACAGAAAGCAGAGAAAACCGGACACTCCCAGGGCCTCGGGCTCGGAGGGTTCTGCAGACCAGGGGGAAGAGGCTGCATGTGGCTGATCAGAGGAGGGAGGGAGCGGGCAGAGCCACCTTGCAGAGGTGTCCTGCTGATGGGACAGGGGTGAGTGCAAGGACTGAGGTGAAGAAAACCTGGGAGCCAGCGAGCTGAGAGCTGAGTGAGCAGGAAGCCCAGCAGGGGGGAGTCTGGGAGACAGCAGGGCCTCAGACCCCAGGGTGTGATGTGGGAGAGCCACAGCTGGGGAGGCGCACACAGGTGAAGGATGCCGGAGTGCCGGCCCACAGATTGTCTTCCCAATTTGGGCGGACTCAGTGCCGCTGTGACCTGAGTCACTGATTTGGAGAAACAGGCTGGTCCACATGATGCAACCCCAAAACCACTGACCGGGCATGTCTTCGCTGTTGCTGTGGTTTTGTGCGTAATTCCTGAGTATTTGTCCAAACCAGGGGCTTGAGTGTTTTCCTTTCCGAGCTTCGGCTACCTGGCCTGTCTTAGATGGCATCACCCTCCAGTGGCCTTCACGGCCCCTTGCCCGTGCTTAGCTGCCTTTGGGGGCCCAGACGTGGACGCCGGGGTGGGAAGAGCTCCCGGCTCAGGGAGTCTCACAGCAGAGGTCCTGCTGAGTCCCTCCCCACCGCCGGCGTGGCTGGGCGGCGCCAGCAGCTTCCCAGCACAAAGTCCTGACTCCAGCGATCCTGATGCAGCCAGGGGTCAGAGGGATGGCACAGAGGGTGCGGCCTGCCCTGAGGTCTCTGTGCTCTGTCTTTCAGGATGCACACCACGCAGCCAGAACCACCCACTACGGCTCCCTGCCCCAGAAGTCACAGCACGGCCGGCCCCAAGATGAGAATCGCGTAGTCCACTTCTTCAAAAACCTTGTGAGTGCTCTTCCACTGGGAGTAGAGCTGAGGGGAGCACTGGCCACAGGGGTGTGGCTATATCCATACAACTCAGCTCTAATCCTTAGGGATGTGAGTATATCCCAGGTGACTCAGCTCTAATCCTTAGGGATGTGAGTATATCCCAGGTGACTCAGCTCTAATCCTTAGGGATGTGAGAATATCCCAGGTGACTCAGCTCTAATCCTTAGGGGGTACAGGTATATTCGAGATGACTCAGCTCTAATTCACTAGGGATATGAGTATATGTTAAATGACTCATCTCTAATCCATTAGGGATGTGAGTATATCCCAGGTGACTCAGCTCTAGTCTATTAGGGATGTGAGTATATCCCAGATGACTCATCTCTAATCCATTAGGGATGTGAGTATATCCCAGATGACTCAGCTCTAATCCTTAGTGATGTGAGTATATCCCAGGTGACTCAGCTCTAATCCTTAGGGGGTACAGGTATATTCGAGATGACTCAGCTCTAATTCACTAGGGATATGAGTATATGTTAAATGACTCATCTCTAATCCATTAGGGATGTGAGTATATCCCAGATGGCTTGTTCTAATGTATTAGGGATGTGGGTGTATCCCAGATGAGTCACCTCTAATCCTTTGAGGGTATATCTTCATCTGGTAAAAGTATATCCTAGATGACTCAGCTTTCAGCCATTTAGGTTATGGGTGTATTTTAAATGACTCAGCTCTAATACTTAAGGGTGTGAGTATATCCCACATGACTCAGCTCTAATCCACAAGGGGCATGAGCATCTCTCCAGATGAAACCTCCATCCTCCTCGGGGTGGAGCTCAGCCTTAGCACCTGGCACCAAGTAGCACCTTCGCATCTGCTACTCACTGAACTTTTATTTTACCAAAGAGCTCACTCCTTTTGAAACTAACTTACTGTGAGGGCTTAGTTAAAAACACAGGCTCTGCAAAACTATGGAGACAGTGAAAAGATCAGTGGTTGCCAGGGGTTGGAGGGAGGAATGAATGAGTGGAACACAGGGCATTTTCAGGGCAGTAAAACTATACTGTGTGATGTGATGTGATGTGATGGTGGGCATACTTCATTCCTTTATCACGTTTCTTTTTTATTTATTTATTTTTTATTTTATTTTATTGATTTTACACAGAGAGGAATTAAGAGGGACAGAGAGTTATAAACGTCGATGAGAGAGAAACATCGACCAGCTGCCTCTTGCACACCCCCTACAGGGGATGTGCCCGCAACCAAGGTACATGCCCTTGACTGGAATCGAACCTGGGACCTTTCAGTCCACAGGCCGACGTTCTATCCACTGAGCCAAACCGGTTTTGGCCCTTTATCACATTTCTTAGCATGTACGACACAGTGAAATCCATGCAAATGAACTTGTTAATAATCGGTACAGTATTGGTTCACAGGAGAACTAAAGAACCCACTCAGGCAAGATGGTAAGAGGGAAAGCAGAGAGGATCCATGGGAACTCTGTAACTTTTGTGCATTTTTTCTTGAAACCTAAAACTTCTAAAAATTAATGATAAGTCTTAGAAACAAAAGCAAAGCCGCAGTCTTCTAATTGTAAACTTCCTGTGCGGCTAACGTTTTTAAATGATACTTTCCATGTTGGTGAGTTTTCAAAGTCGCAGACCAGGTGGCGCACCTTCAGAACCTGCAGACCAGGGGACACTTACTTTCTGCCCCCGAAAGGGGTGGCGGTGACGTTCACGGCCTCTGTCAGTGTCCGGACTGTGCCCAGGAACACATGCCAAGGCAAGTCTGTTTCCTGGCTTAGAGCCTGTTAGTTCATTTTCAGTTCTCTCAAGCACCTTCAGAGACTTCTGGAAGATCTGAATAGCACTGGATATTTTTAAACTCTCAGATCCGTGGTACTTCTCACTCAGCTGGGACAGAAAAGGGGAAGTTGGGCAGAGGGATGGCCCTCACCTAATAGGTCATGGACACTGTCAGAGACATGGGCTACTCCCAACCACACAGGAGTCTCACAAACGGGGGTCAGGGCCGCTCTGTAGGAGGGACCCCACCACCGCTCACCATCCCTCTGTCTTTGCAGGTGACGCCTCGCACACCTCCTCCATCACAAGGAAAGGTAAGACTTCTGAATATCTTCATTAGTCATCACTTTCCTTACAGACCTCCCCTGAAGTCCTTCAATGTACCAAAGAGAGAGTTGGGCTCATGGCTACCTGACTTGATCTCATAGTTTTGTCAAGTGGGTCCCAAGTAGACATGCTGAGATGCATGACATCTGCTCCTCCGACAACCGTGCAGACAGTGCTAATCAATCCCCCTCACTTGTTCTCCGAACCCTCATCCTAAATCCTCCCTGGAAGCTCCAGGAGGCCACTGCCACCCCCTTGGACGGGACACGTGCACAGTCTCAGCATAGGCTGCTGTGATTGTGTTTCTTCTCTATTAAAAGGACATTTCCCTGCACTGATCACAATGTCATTATTTCTTTCTTTCCCGATCCAGGGGCGAGGAAAGTCCCTCAGCAGATTCAGCTGGGTAGGTGACAATCACATGTCCGTGCCGCTTCTCCTCTCCTGGTCCTGGCAGCCACTGCGAGTCTGTTCTGCTCAGTTTCAGTTGCCTAACAGTCGCTCCCCCTTCCTTTCCTCGCAGCCCAGCTTGTCCCCAGGACCCGGGATGCATTCTCCTTGAGGGGGAATGAGCAGCTGTTGCAGCAACCAACCCCCTTTCCACATAGGTCATATCCCTGCTTCCTCCCACCAGTGACAGGCACCCCAGGGCCAACAACCATCTCCCACAGGCCCCCACCAGTCCCGTGGGGCTCCCACAAGGAAGCACCACTGCAGTGTGGGCCTGCGACTAATGCACCATCTACATGGCCAGCCTACCACCAGATGGTGACTTTTCAATGAGGAAAAATGGCCCTAGCTGTTTTGGCTCAGTGGATAGAGCATCAGCCTGGGGACTGAAGGGTCCCAGGTTTGATTCTGGTCAAGGGCACATGGCTAGGTTGTGGATTTGATCCTCAGTAGGGGACATGCAGAGTTATAATGACCTAACTCACCCAAAACATTGGGTTTTGTGTGTGTGTGTGTGTGTGTGTGTGTGTGTGTTAGTAATAACTACAGCTTTGATATCAAGCCATCCAGGAAAACCTTCTGAGGAATTTTAGACTCTTGAACACAGAACAATTTTTTAATGAAGACCTTAAAGAGGCAATTTGTTCACTTTTTAGATACTAGTGAAATTTGGCATCTGAACCAACTTAAAATATTCTAACCAAATGTATAGTCTTTTGTTACTGGTAAATATTAAGTATTGTTCTTTGCTTATAAAAATTAGAACTTTCAGAATAACCTCTAGGCCAGGGATTGGGTGTGTCTTGGGAACACAATATCCTTAATCTCTAGTACAGGCCAAATATACGAGATGCCCAATTAATAGGCATCATACAAATGAATGAGAGAAGGTTAAAAATTTTAAAAAGAGAAAGGGAGCCGAAGCTGATTTGGCTCAGTGGATAGAGCACGTGCCTGTGGACTGAAAGGTCCCGGGTTCGATTTGGGTCATGGACATGTACCTTGGCTGCAGGCACATCCCCAATAGGGGGTGTGCAAGAGGCAGCTGATGGATGATTCTCTCTCATCCATGTTTCTAACTCTCTATCCTTCTCTCTTCCTCTCTGTAAAAAACCAATAAAAATATATTTTAAAAATAATAAAAAATAAAAAAGAGAAAGGGAGAGAGGACTGGAGGGAGGGGAGACGCCCGCAGAGATAAGGTAGAGAAAAGATTTCATAAAGCCCCCGATTTCCTCCAACACATTCTGATGTTGAATTAGGAACTGATATATTTGCTGCAATTTTACATAAATATACTTGAGCCTTCTCCTGACCGAATGACTTTGCAAACAGGTAACGATAATGTAGAAATGGCCCTGGGCTAGCTCTCACCGACAATTAACTGTTGACTTTCTGTGCCAGGAGGAGATAGAGATGAGACTAAAGGATGAAACCCACTTTTGACCCAGAAACCATGTGCTGGTAACTGCGTGCTCTGCCTCTTAGCTTTGCAGGCGACGATTCGGGGCTTTATGCAAAGTCCCCCTGCACATGTTGGCGGCTGGGGGACTTCTTCCCCCCAGTCCTCCCCAGGCCACCTCGACCTGCCGTTAACCAGAAAGGCCTTTGCACTCCTCCGCCTTCCATTTCTCCTCCTGTTAATGTGCGCTACATTTATTTTTTCCCCAAGCAGATTTCTCCCCTGCCTTCCCTTGCCTGCTTACCTGTTTCCAACAGCTCAGATTGCCTTCCTCTGGGGAATTCGCAGCCCTGCTAAACCACTCTGTGTGCTTTCTGATAAATTCTAGGTCATCCAAAGCTATAAATGACCATGAATCTGAAAGGAGGAAAAGTCAAGTACATTATTAATCCGAAAACCAATCCTTGGATTTAGTTCTCAGAAGCTCTTTATTTTTGGAGAAAAACAGGAGAGCAAGACAGGCTGAGTTTGTGTCCAGGTGGGGAAGTGTGGCTCCCTGTCTATGGCGCAGCAGCCCCTCACTGTCACCTGCCCCTCATGTCACCCGCCCCTCAGGGTCCGTCCTGGGGAGCGTGTGTCTGTGGATGCCTTCAGGACTCAAGGGCAGCGCTGGCATTTCTCCAGCAGGCTGCTCATCCCTCTCTGCCTCACTCCCCTGCCCTTGCTCCACTTGATAACCTTGAAACAGATCTTCACATGAAAACAGCCACCTCAGACCCGGTGTCCAGTGTCCGTTCTCCGGCCTCGGCTGAGTGAGAGGGACAGTGCAGACACTGCTTGTGTTATAGGATCCTGGACAGGTGGCTCAGTCTTGCTCAGCTGAGTGACAGACATGACCTGGGGGAACCTGAGCCTTCAGAGCTCAGCTCCAGCACCTCTAACATATCGGGCTGGATGAGGTGGTTCCCGAGGCCCCCAGCTCTCAAACACTCTTATGAGATTGTAGGCTGAAGGGGTTTGTGGGTCTCGATCAAGAGATGGTTTTATTTTTTTCCTAGAATTCTTTGGAGAGAAACAGCCTCCTATTTCTTGTTGGCCGAAACAAAGGGAAACCTCAGACCCCGTCCATGGAGTAGAGACTTACCCTGGGATGTGGGCAACTGGGTCACCTCCTGTGAGCATCGTCCCTACGCCTGGGACACTTCACTCCAAATGCTCACATGCGTGTGTCCACACTGCAGTTTGTCCCGTTTCTTTCTCATGGGGAACATCCCGTGGAAACTGACGCATTTGATAAAAGGCTGGGGACACAGACTCTCTCATATTCCTACTATCTTCTGCCATGGCTTCAGCCCACAGAGAAGATTGTCTCCAGCCCCTGGGGGGAGGGCAGTGGGCGGAGATGGAGGGATGGAGGCCCTCCTCCCATGAGGACCACAAGTTCAGAGCTTTGTTCCCAGAGCAGGGTATCCGTTAACTCACGGATGCTCACAGCAACCAGCGAGGAAGGGGCTGTTCTCATCCACATTTTATAGAGGAGGAAACTGAAGCTCAGAGAGGTTCCCACACGTGCCCGAGGTCACACAGCGAGGGAGCAGGGGAGCGGAGGCCATCCAGGCTGCCGGCTGAGCCCTGGTGCACGACGCAGGGATGTGGCTCACCTGCCCAGACCTGCCCCTTCCCTCCATGGCACCAGCGCAGGGGCTCAGGGCCCAGGTCTGCACGCTCACCCTCGGGACTCCGCGCCATGGTTCCTGGCACAGCGGGAGAGGCTCATTTGGAACAGAGAGCAAGAGTATCATCCTCACACGTTAGAAAGGTGTGGGCCGGGAATCTCACCTCATCCCAAGCCGCCTGCCTGAGCTCTCCAGGAGACGGAGTGAATGTGAGCACAGTCCTTGCAAACAACCCAGACTCAGCGTCGGCCTCCTCCAGGCCCCTCTGAGGAACGGCCACTCTGGGTCCCCTTCCTCCAGCCCCGTGTGGGCTAAGGTTCTCCGCCTTGTCCTAAGACCTCTGCTGACCTCCTCTTGAGGACCAGGCAGTGAGAAGCAGGGAGGCCGCTGGTGTAGTAAAGGCCTCGATCTTTCAAATGAAAGCATTTGGGTAACTCATAACAGAGCCCTGGCCCAGGCCAGGCCAGCGCTGAGACAGGCCAGTGGAGGGCACTGCGCCCTCGGGTCCCCTGTTTCTGGCTTTGACCGGAGCTGTGCTCCTCTCTTGCAGGGAGCCGAGGGGCAGAAGCCTGGATTTGGCTACGGGAGCAGAGCTGCCGACTACAAATCTGCTCACAAGGGGCTGAAGGGCCAGGACACCCAGAGCACACTTTCCAAATTCTTCAAACTGGTAATGTAGCCACCCTGGTCCTGGGACAGGCTGGGCGGGTGGGGTGGCCATCCAGCCTCCTCACTCCGTTCCTCAGGCGTCTCAGTGAGCAGTGAGCTGGCAAGGCCGGGCCCCTGGGGCTTGAGGACAAGATGGGCCACAGGCCACAGCTGAGCTGGGGGAGTCTGTGGGTGCTGACCCACCTGGAAGCCAGGGGCGCCTGAGGCAGCAGCATCTTCCTCTCCCAGGAAATGAGCAGGACCAGGTGATGGGGTGGGGATGGTTGGACCAGGTGAGAGACCCCGGAAACCACAGCCTGTATGTCCCGTTGGTTATGACACTGGGGTCTCACAGGCCCAGGCCCATATTTGTTGCCCAAGAGCTCATGGCTGGCGACCTCGGAGCCTTGATTTCCTGCTCTGAACGGGGGCACATGGGGTAAGCGCTGTGAAGTAAGAGGTGATGAGAACAATGTGGTCTCAGGTGCCTGCAGGTCACTCGCAGGGATGGCAGCTGATATTGCAACTCATAGCGACAACCATGCACAGACACCCGAGCTCTCAGGACGTCCTTCTGGTCAGCAAAGGCTGCGGTGCAGGTCTCGAGGGGCCATTTCCCCTGACTAGGCCTTAACCTGGACCCACTCTCGGTGTCAGAGGGCCTGAGGCCTCACTCTGTCCCAGACCCCTTCATGACCTGTGGAGGTCACAGAGGGTCCCTGGCTCTGGGGAGGGTCACGATGCGGGGCCCGGGGAAGCATCCCCGTGGACAGGCTCTGCCTGGAGCCGGCCATACAAGGGCCTTGGGAAGGGACCGACTTAAAGGTGCTCATAGAAAATGGACAAAATACATGTCCATTTTCTGTGACTGCCGGTGGGAAGGGGCTGAGGGTGATGAGGGTGTCGTGTGCCTCTGCGTCCAAGGTGGTTACCGTTCCGGGAGGGTGGCCAGAGAAGGCTGGGTGAGCAGGTGACAGTGAAGGGAAGGGCCTGCTCCCTGTGAGCTCCAGGAGACACTGGGTCAGGGCTCATCTCTGCCGACAGAGCACAGGGCCCTGCAGCCCAAATCCCCACTGAGGGAGGTCTCTGGCCCTTTAGCTGGTTCGCTAAAACATCAAGACTTTACAATTTGGTGGAATAACTTGGTCTGTAATCCAAATACCCTTTGATTTGCCCATCTGCCCTTTAACCCAGTATGAGTCACGTGTGTGGTGTATCCGGGGTTGGGAGACCCATGCGGAGCCCGTGCATCCAGACCTGATGGTGCTGGGCGCACAGGTGGTGTGGACAGAGCAGGCGCCGCCTTTCAGGGAAGTCACAGCTGTGCAGAGGAAGCCTTAAAAACACTCAGTGAGTGGTGAGTAGCCGAGCTGCTCTCTGGTTTAATGTCAGGGAAAATGTCAGCAGATCCACTCCTCAATGTAACTACGAGTTAGGAAGTGAATTCCACCCCAGATGGAGGCTGTCGTGACCCACTCACCTCAATTCTGAAATGTGGCAGAGACGGGCAGATTGGACCTACCAGGGTGTTGGGTCCTGCCCTCAGCACAGCCATGTTCCCACCTGTGGCCCAGAGCCGCCGGGGGTCACACCAATAGGATAGCCTGCAGTGCCCGGGTCCTTTCTGGGCTGCCCCACGACTTCCTGCGCCCGAGGCTTCCGGGGAGGAACCCAGCTTTCTGCAGTTGTAGCAATCTCCTTCTTGTCCGAGAAGTGCAGGTTGTCCTCACAGAAAATGGACGAAATACGTGTCTGGGGAACTAGTTACTGCGCTAACCAGCTCAGTGTCTATGAATCATTTATGAGTGACAACCACCTGGTGAGGGGAGGGCACACTGAGCAGGGACTCTGCTGAGGAAACACCCATTTATACCTCCCTCAGGTATTCGGTATGGAGCCCATTTGTTCCTTAATGAGGGCCACTGTTTCCCTAAAATCCTTCTTCTAGGCAGTAGTTTAGAAATTCTAAAATTCCTATACAGTTCAAGGGAAGCTTCCATTTATCAAATTAAAAGAAATTTCAATTAATATGGTTTTAATTCAATTTTACCACCTAAAAATCCTTCCTCTGTGCTACTCTGATCACATGGGGGCTGAATGTTCGACCTGGAGCAGTTAAAACAGATTTTAAGAGTCCCCCAGCGATGAGAGGCCTCAAGGCAGATGAGTGGAAATGGTGGGATTTGACAGTCGTTAAGGTAGCAGCGTGTCTCCTGTTTTTTTCTCCCTCCTCCTCGTTCACCATAGAAAATCAGGGGTGAGAGGAAAGAGTGGGAGGAAGGGCCCGGATTCCGCTATCTGGGGCTGATGGTGGGAAACTGGGCAGAGAACACTACATCTATCCCAGCCACTTGGAGCCACCCCGAAATGTGCAGGAGTTTCTCATTCCCACGCGCCTGAGCTGAGCTGGCACTCATTCCTACCCAGAGCATGTCCCAACAACCGTGATGTGTAAGAGTGGAGAGCGGTGACTTTGCTGCGCCTCCGTTCTGTCCCTACCCTAAAACACAAATCAGTCTGACCTCGCCCCAAGCAGACCAGTGCCTTAGGCAGAGGGTTGAAAGTGGTACAAACAGGACAGAGAGAAGCAGGAGGCAGAGTGCCAGAGCTCCCTGTAAGAGCTGAGTGACTCTGGGAAGTGACCCCCCCCCTCTGAGCTGCAGCTCCCACATAACATGAGGGTGTGAAAGCTACCTCTGGGCTGGGCTTTCTCGTTCCTCAGAGAACAGGTGGAATGGATTTGGCTCATGGTAGGTACTCCGTAAATCATAGGTACAAGAACAGAACATAAAACCAGGAAGCCCACCAGCCTTCATCTGAACAGGCGCCATCCAGAGGGTAAATGGAACCTCACTTAAGCTGCCTCGCAAAGGATGTCGGAACAGAACCCATCCCAGCACACGTGTGCTTTGTTGTATAAATAGTGGTTCTGCTGTGGTCGGGAATGAATCACTCTATAGGATTCCTGAGGTTAACCTCTTGGAAATTCAGAAAAAGGAGAGGCTCTTCAGACTTCCCCGAGGGCAGTTCTGAGGACCCTGAGGAGAGGGTCACGGCTCCCACAGGAAGGCTGCAGCCCTGAGCGCTGCTCCAGACACTCCCCGAGGCCCGCCTGCGGGCCACACGTGGGGAACACAGAATTAGGCTAGACCGCATCAGGTCAGTGCTCACTGTCTGGGAAACAGCATATTCCATGTATATCTTGCTTCCTGGGGTTCACTCTAAAGGAAGTCTCTGTTTTGAGAGATTGATTTTCAGTTGAAATTTAAGGAAAAGGGGAAACCCAAGGAGGAAGAGACCAAAATTGGAATGCAAAATTAACGCGTTTCTCCCATGTCCATCTCAATGACATGAGTGACCAACTGTATTGTCTTCTCAGAGAGTGGGCATTCACCTCTGAGTCACCTCCATGCTGCGGGCCCTGAACAGATGTCTACGTCTCAGTGAAGGCCAAAGTAAAAAATAATAATAATAATAAAATAAAATAAATAAATAAATAAAAATTAATTGTACAGAAAACATGTCCATTCATGGTTTTAAGCCCCAGGTTACGTTAAAGTTTGCTGACAGCCCCCCTGTAGGTTAGTCTGTCCGGGCGAGGCAGATGAGGGGCAGACAAGCATGGACATGGACATGGCCCTTTTGCCTCCATGTCATTGAGATGGACATGGGAGGAACGCGCTAATTTTGCATTCAAATTTTGGTCTATTCCTCCTTGGGTTTCCTTTCACTGCCCCTCTCTCCCCACCCCGTCATAATCCTGTGAGGTTCAGCAACTGGTGTGTCACTCCAGGGGTGAGATCGTCCCTGTCCCTGTTTGCAGACAACTTCCCTCCATTACCCTGGGAATTTCTAGCCAAAACCAGTGAGGTGCTCACTCCGAGCATACTAATGAAGACTGAGCTTTTTCACCTGGAACTGAATTTCTAGCGAAGAACATCCTGGGAACTGAATTCCAATGATTCTTCTGAAGCCCTGAAAATTCAGCGCTTGTTCAGGGAGTGGTGAGGGGTGGAGCGAAGACACCTTTATGTGGCTTCATTTCTAGCCACAGACCTTGTGGCAGAGCGTCCCCAATGGTCTCCAGGAAAGAGGAGCATGGCCGCGGTCCTGGCACTCACTAACGCTGTGTTTCCTCTTCTCAGGGGGGAAGAGACAGCCGCTCTGGATCGCCCATGGCTAGACGCTGAGCCCTGACTCCTGTTCGCGAACCCTGTCCTGGCTTCCTAATAATCCCGCCCTAGGATTTAACACTGTCCCATTCAGCCCACCGCTCCTTCTAGACAAGACTTCTCGCTAGTGCCTGGCCTGAGTGCACAGTGGGGCCAGGCACACCGCATCCTCCTGGCAGTTTCTGGCCCACGGCTGCATGGACAACACAAACACAAAACAGTTCCACTGTTCCGACTTTGTGTCTGAAGACAACGCATCCTGGTGTCTCGTTCCGCAGCGACGTGCCGGGCGCCCCGGAGCCCAGCCTCGTCCCACGGATCCTCCGACCTTGGACTTGCTTTGCACGCTGATCCACCCCCGGCTTCGGGCACTGCTGGGAGGCATCGCTGTGACACAGGACACGTGCAGGTGGTGGGCCTGCGGCCACGCTCCCTCCAGTTCCTGTCCCTGTCCTGTCTCACCTCCTAAGGCCCCTTCCCCTCCTAACAGGACTAGGCAGCAGGAGTGGCGTCACCCCCGCGGGAGCTTCGGTATGTGGATGCCGGTGGGCAGCTTGGGAGAGAGCAGAGTGGTGGGCGAAGAGGCCCTGCGGGCTGCTCCCACGCCAGGTGGGCTGACTTCGTGTTGGATGGAGAGGGGAAGGAGGCAACAGGGCCGGCAGTAGCCTGGGGCAGGAAACAGGCGAGGACATAGCGGGGACCAGAGTGGCCCCTCCAGAGCCCTGTTTCGTCACCAGAGCCCGGCTGAGAGCTCGGGGAGACCTGCACAGAGAAAGCGGACCTTAGGAGATTTTGGGGTGGCCGCACGGTGTCACCCTGGTCACTGGGAAGCCAACCGTGACAGGTGGCATGCTCAGCATGGCAGTGCACATCGCAAACACTAACCTTGTGGAAGAATAACCCTCTGTGTGCTTACATCCTGGGAGTGAATGTGCTGCGTGACTAGGCTTAGTAGGGCCCACCCCTGATCACCATGAATCTACCCCTGCCCCTGCCTCTGACCCTGAACTTAATCCTACCCCTGCCCCTAACCCTGCTCTTGCCCCTGACCCTGACCTATGGCCAGGCCTGACTACTGAGGCTAGAAAAGCCGTCCTCTGCACAGTACCCTTCTAATGTGAGCAGACATCCCCTGCCCCTGCATAACGTACTGATTGTGCCTTTTGAGTTCTAGTGCCTCTTCTCAATCTTCCCTCCAGACCCCTGCAACCTCCTTTTCCTGTAGAATGAAGATGAGGAGTGGCCTCCGTAAGGCCCCTCTAATTCCATCTAATCCTGAATGTTGAGTGTGGGTTTATATAATGTCTATTAACTCATAGCCTCAGTGATGAGAGGGTAACAAAAAAACAACCAAAAACAAAAAACAAACAAAAAAAAAACCCCTTTGGTAAACAAAACCTCCAAACTGCTCACTCTGAGCGGTCTGCGTGAGCTGATGTTGGTGTGAGCCCCACGCAGATGACCCCGGCAGCAGCCATGGCTGTCACGGGGAGAACACACTGTCCTTGAATAGTGACATAAATAAACGTTTAATGATACTCGCACGGGGTCTCTTATTTGTATCCGTGAAACGTGAGCCCACATGCCGCCATCATCACATCCGAGCAAACGCGGGCACAGACCTGTGGTCACGGCACACAGCCGGCCGCACCTCCAGCAGGAGAGTGGTGGGGCGGGTCACCATGAGGGCGTCGGTTCTCTGATTTACCATGAAGAGAATCTTCAAGTTATCTTTAAACCAACTTTTTTAAAAATATATTTTTACTGATTTCAGAGGGGAAGGGAGAGGGAGGAGAGGGACAGAAACATCAATGAGAGAGAATCATTGATTGGCTGCACACCCTCTACTGGAGATGGAGCCCACAATCCAGACAATGTGCCCTGACCAGAAATCAAACCATGACCTCCTGCCTCATAGATCAATGCTTACCCATTGAGCCATGCCGGCCTGGCTAACCATCTTTTACATGCATTTACCAGTGAGTACCCTGCTCATGTGAAGTAAGGAATCTCTTGACAAATTATTTTTTGCCACATTTTATCTTGCAGAGACATTGACAAGTGATTTGGGGAATGTTTGTTTATAGTTGATTTTATACAAGAATTCTCTTTCAAAAAGATCCACTAAAACGATTTTTTATTTTGCTTTGCTTTTGATATTACCACGGGTGCCCTTCTGCCTCGGTAGCAGTGATGCTGAACTCTGTGCATCTGTGAAATTCAGCAAGGGCAGCCCCGGCAGGACAAGGGCAGGGCCCCCAGCCCGGGTCTGCAGAGCCCTCAGCCTCAGGGTGTGTGTGTGCAGCCACACTCAGCAGCAGGCAGCCCCACTGTGGGGCTGAGGGACTCCAAGCCAATACTGACCAACCCTCTTCCTTTTTACTTCTCTTCCCAAACCTCCTAGGATGGAGGAATTTGGAAAATCATGCAGAGATAATTAATATATAAATGGTCAGTGCCAGGGCTCAGCTAACCTGAGGCCCCACGTCACCTTGCATCTCAGATTTGCACAAGATGCTGGGCCAAGTCATGCCTTCGTGTTTAAATGCAAACACTCACATCGTAAGAGCCAAGTATCCTGGGAAATTCATTGGGAGAAGCACTTCAGGTAGTTGAGCAATCCACTGTAGAGGGAATACATTTCCCATAATCTGATCACTTGAAATAGTCCCATCCCACCACCCCCATATTTAAAAATGATTAGAGCAACACCCCCCTCCCCAAACAGACGAGGTGGGGCAGACTCTTAACCAGCCTCTCTGAGAAAGTCCAGTCACATCACTTTCCTCCCAAAGTGTATGGAGTCCCTACTCTGTGCTAGAAACAAAGGGAACCAAGACAAAAATCCTTCATTTATATCTCAACAAGACAATGACTCAATAAACCACCAACTTCTAAAAGTTTGAAAATGAGACACCCCCCCTCACAATTCATTGGAGGGGGTAGATGGGAGGGGGGGGAAGGGGAGGCCAGGGGAAGGTCAATGGGGGGAAAAAGGAGACATACGCACTATTTGTAATACTTTAAACAATAAAAAATTTTTTTTCTTCTTCAGTGGTGAGTCAAGAGTGAATCACTTTGTCATTTTAGAACTGGTCAAACAGATTACAAATTTAGACTGAACACAGAAGCCATCATGCTGTAAAGCACTACACATAAAAATGGTTAAACAGCAAAGCCTCACAGTGACGGCCCGCCGCTCCTGCCACTGCTGCGGCCACTCAGTGTCCAGTGTTAGTGCTGAAATATTGTATGAGGTACCCATAGAAAGCGGGTGGGTGTGAGAGGATGAGTGTGGACTCATTGGTATGACTGAGGAAGCCCGTAAATTCAGATGAGATCAGCAATGACCAAGCATGACATTTGCTTAGAAACCTCCCCAAGGCAGAGACTGCTTCTTTAAGAGGGATATGCAGGTTTCTAACTCTAACCAAAAGTCTGCCCCCCACACACACTTTTTAAATGATGAAGATGCCACTAGATTTTGAAATGCTAATTTTCACTAGAATAAGGTAAAGACATGGAGGCCCCAAGTGTATGCAGGCACTTCTGAAATTCTATTCTACAAACTCCAAATTACCTGTGTCACACGAGTAGAGATAAAGTGGCAAAACATTTAGGTTCACAAGTATCAACTCTGCCTCATTTTGTACAAGACAGTCTAGAAAAAAGAAATTAATTAGCAACAATTGACCCTTGGATTAACTTTTTCTTGGTGGTAGGGGGGAAGGTAGAGTATTGACTTTGAAATAAACTTTTGGGTGGGGGGTAGATATGCAGAGAAGGCATGAGATCTCTCTAAACTGTAACCAGACAACAATCCTATATCCCTTACAAGTTTTCTTAAAAAGGTGTCGCTTACATAAATCCAAGGGACCTTTTTTGTTGTTGTTGTTGTTAAAAAAAAAAAAATGGGTCTCCTCATAAGTTAGAATATTCTTCTACAGGGAATGCACTTCAATGTGCAGAACCTCAGGCCTGGACTAAACACACACCTCCTGAACATGTAACGGAAGAGGTTAGAGAACACTGGTTGTAATTGTAAAACAAAAACTCCATTTCCTTAAAAATGACAATGGGCAGAGGAGCACAACATATCCTAAAGGAAGGTGCCCTAGTTAAATGCTGAGATTGGCTGGCACTGGAATTTCACCATGGGGAGGACCACTGGGTACTCCTTGTGCGGACAGGTGTTCTCCGTCCCCTCAGGTACACACGACCAGAGGACACAGCAGGTGTTCTCCGTCCCCTCAGGTACACACGACCAGAGGACACAGGCAGTCGATGAGCCTCCCGCTGACCTGATGGGCCACAGGCAATATCCAGGTGGGTGTGGTCTCCTTTCATACCTGTGCAAGCACCGACAGGTGCTACTGAGGCCAAAGGCTAGCTGCAAGGGCAGCTCATGTGGACCAGGGCACTGTGTTTGGGCAAGGGCACTGGAGTTTCCATTCCTGAAAGGATGCTTTTGTCCTAAGCCACTGACATTCTATGGGAATAACGTGATGGATGGGATTCCATGCACACAGGGCTCCTCCCGAGAGCTGGCGTCACAGGAACTGCATCCAGGCTCTCCCACAGACCTGGCAACCTGGCACCAGTGAGCTTTCCCTGTCGGGGTTCGCAGAGCGAAAGCACGGTGTCAAAGTTCTTTTCTTTTAAAAACTCTCTGAACTTGGAATGAATTCATGTGCCAAACTTCCTTATATTAAATATTCTAAAAGAAAAGTGGGTCACACTTCCTAACTTCATGTTTTATTTATTGTTCTTCCAAAAGAGATCTGCTAAGATGAGATCTTTCTGAAGATGCTGTTATCTATCCTCACGGTCCTGGCTGTGCAAGGCTGGAAATCTCTCGTCAGGAGACTTCACCGGCCACTAAGTCATAAAGAGCAACCTGCACTCCACCCAGAGATCCCATAAAAATCTTATCTCTTCAAGGAATGTTTTGCAAAGAAGCAGCTTTTATGACTAGAAAGTGAATCAAAATAATACACTAATATGTTGTGTTTGCTTGCTAATAAACTGAGAACACTCACAAAACGAATTGCTGATAGGGTTTCTTTTTCTTTTTCTTTAACCAACGTAGAAGTAATTTTAGATTCTCGTGATACAGAGCAGGGCTGTGCTTGTGTACAATTAAGAATTAAATAAACCCTCTTAGAGATTGTCCTGAGATGACATTTAATGCTAAAAACAAAATAAATAAACTAGCAAGAACCAACATTTTTTAAATTCCAATAATTGCAAGTTGGGATTTTTGTTTACCAAAATTAATGAACATTTCTAAAATATTTTAATACAAAATTATAAAAGAAAGTGCATTAGAAGCAGAACCTTTAAAACTCTGGCAAAATTACATTATTCTGAATACACTGACTACAGCCAGGTACACACACCAACATTCAAGGAAAATCTCAAGATATATAGTAAGTCCAGCATCACAAGAATAAGTCAAATAAGGCTTTTTCCCCTTAAAAAAATATACAATACACAACAGTTTGAAAAAAAATGTAATATTATTTAACAGTTTTCTGACTTAAATATTTTCACATAACAAAAGCTTTTATATCACCATATTACTTATATACATATCCAAAAGTGAACAAAAACAAAAAAAATCAAAAGATGCCCTTTCAAAAAAATAAGAGTGAAATGTCTCTGTTTTTTTCAGGAACTTGAAATGAGTTCCTCTCTTAATATACAAAGTCCGTACACTATTTACAGTATAATAAAACTGCCCTCTGAAACCAGAGAAGAAATGAGAGAACATGAAGGCAGTTATTTTTCAGAAAAATAAAAACAGCCCAGCTCTATGTTACAATGAAAAAGAGACCCATTTATTAATAAAATGAACACAATACTGGTCTGAAGTGCTCACAGGGAGGTAAAAGCGCTGATGACGCTCTCTCTGTAATGGGGACGAGTGCTTATATTTACAAAATATACTGTTCAGCCACACAGAGGCCCATATATCTGTATGTACATATGCACTTATATATAGAACATATAAATAACTTCAAAGGGGAAATTCACATGGAGAGAGAACTTTCCATCTTTGGAATGCTGCAGGAAGGACACGCCGCCCCGGCACGGGGGGCTTGGTGTGGGACATGTTGAATGTGGCACCATTGATGAGACAAGAATTCCCTGAAATAAAAACACACCTGCTGATGCACGAGGAGGAAAACACGGGCTCAGGAGCGCTCTTGCCCTTGGACTACAGAAGTACCTAATGTAGCGGTGAGCAGGGGCCAAGCTCCTCTCTCACTTCCTGTTGGCAACGGAGGGCTTGTACTTCCTGCCACGACCTGGCCCGTGGACCTGCTTGTCGCTGGTGAGGCAGGGCAGCGTCACGCGCGGACCGAGTCGTCCTCGTCCGTGTGTTGGGTTTACTCTGCTCCCCAGGTTTACGCTCAGAGGCTGCCTTCTTATGACTAATGATTAGATATTTTAATGCAGAGAGAACTGGTCCAGCCATTTCTCAAGGTATTAGTTCTATTAACTTACAGACTAAAAAGAGTCAGTTCTACTACCTTCAAAATGCACAGAGAAAAGGAACTTCCCTGTGTGGTCTAACATTTTTTTTAGACTTTGTGCACCTACGTGACATTTGTTTTATAAGCTATGCTTCTTAGAACATAAAGCATGAAGGAAAATATGACCTTTTCCATGTTAAGTTGTCTTTGTAATACAAAGAAATCACACTACAATGATAGTAAGATCCAGTTAATTTGTGTGTAACTAGACGCACTGGCCACGGAGCAGAGGATGAAACTGCCTGTTGCGTACCTGAGTTCAGTGATTTGTAGACAAATGAGAACAATGCGGTTACATGTCCCCGTTTTTTTTCCCTAAGTCTCTGAAAGACAATGATTCTTTAGGTAATTTTATAGCTAAAAACCTACTATGGTAACATGTTTAACACTTGAAGCTTCAAAACAGTAATTCCAAGTGCTTCGTTCTGCATAGCACAGAACCTAAGAGATGTCCCAGGGTGCCTTGTGCTGCTCAGAAGACGTTGGCCAGTGCCTGCCACTCGCCGGCGGCCTCAGGCACCACCTCCTCCAGGTGCAGGGTCTGGCTCAGCTCCTCGGTGCCCTGCTCCTGGGGGCCTGTGGGTTCCTGCAAGGCTCCTGCAGGGTAGACAGAGCACAGGCAGTTCAGACTCCAGCAGCACAAAATTATTCAGATAAAGGACAGCTGGAATACAGACAAGGACTTCCTAAATGGAGGGCTTTCCACCCTAATGAGGAGAGCCATTTGAGCGCAGTTTGAATGACTCAGGGATGATGTCGGTACTGACTGTGAACATGCCCGTGGCCACTGACAAACCCACCTGTGAGGGTGCTATTCTTGTGGTATCAGTGAGGTGGGGCAGACAATAACATTCACAACTCGCCTCTTTTCCTGATAGGAAGTAAAGCAGGGTCTGGAGTGTATCCATTAAAATGAACTTTCTCTCCCTCAAAACCCAACGACAGTGTCCTCTCTTCCTTTGGCCAGTCACCATGCAGGCCCATCAGCTTCATACACGGGCCACACCACCCAAACACCTAAATAAACCTGAGGCCCATCTGTCACACACCAAAGTTCTAGTCAGCATATACATTCAGCCGCTGCAGCCCATCCAGCCAACGACCATCACCCCTCTCTTCACAAAGACTGGTGCAGGCCCAGGTTTGCGGGACACAGCAGCGGGCCCACAGCCTCAATACCCCCAGTGTTGGTGAGTCAACATGGACAGAGGCCTGTCTGTGGACAGGATGGCCTGACTCTGCCCTATGAGAGCCAGGCACACAGTCAGCACTGGGCACAGAGCGGCCTGGCTGGACCCACAGATGGCATCCTGCACCTAACACCTGGCCTTCCCTGCACTCTGAGGAAGGCTTCCCCAGCGCCGTGGACAGGGCACTGCGCCGGCCCCTCTACAGAAGGCGCGATGTGTGCAGGGGCCTCACCGGTGTAGCTGTGAGCCCGCTTCATGTGGAGCTTCATGTTGCTCTTCTGGGTGAAGCCCATGACGCAGTAGTCGCACTTGTAGGGCCGCTCGCCCGTGTGCTTCTTCATGTGCACCTGCAGCGCGCTCTTCTGGTTGAAGGCCTTCTCGCACAGCGTGCAGTGGAAGGGCCGCTCCCCTGAGGGCAGAGCAACCCAATCAGTGCCTGCCCTGCCCTCGAGGAGCACATGCAGGAGACAGGCTCATGCACATGACGGGCACACCCACATGATGGACACATGCAAGAGCCGGGCACACACAGGGAAATGCCTGGCAGATGCGGGCTGGTTCACAGGGGTCACCATGGTGTCCTTCCTGCTCCTGCTGACAAGTCCGCTCCATGGTGTCACATGGGAGACTGCCAGAGGCTGCTGACAGTCCTGAAGGCTCCGGAAATGAGGGGCACAGTGTTTTCAACCCATTGGGGCAGGAAAACAAAAAGACTTTCAGGACATGAGACTGTCCTACCACTTGATTAAAAGTAGGATATATGGAATATTTTTAAAAACATATAACTGCTTTCATGTTAATTCAGACACTGGAAAGTGAAAGGCAAAGCTGCTCAATGCAACCTCTGCTGGGTGCCCACACGTGGACCAAGAAGGTGGATAGGTCCCAGGAGGTCCCACGCAGAAGGTACTCAGGCGAGGGAGCCCAGACCAGGCAGAGGTGGAGGACAGGGCCCGGGACATAGGAACAGGTTTCTGTGTGAGCAGGAGAGAGCGGCGAGAGGCAGGGAGGCAGTCTGCTCCCTTGCTATGTGTTTTTCTGAGACTGACTGACAGTGGAGACAGAAAAAGCCAGCAGAGAAGTGTGAGGACGAGAGACGGGAAGGAAGCCCTGCAGGACCACAAGGCAGTTTGGCCTGACACTGCGCTTTATGCTCACGGTCAGAGCAGCAAAACCTTTCACTTAAAGGATAGTTACTGCGATAAGTGATAAAATTAGGACAACGGTATAGAAGGTCCTTGTGTTACACACAATATGTGTTTTGATGAACAAGTGTTCCATGCTAAGTCCTGGTTCCTCCAGGTCAAAGGTCCCTGCGCCAGGACCCTGTAGCCCCACGGCTCCTCACCTGTGTGGATGCGGCTGTGGCGCTCCAGCTGGCTTGGTTTGGCAAAGGCCTTCTCACAGGTGTCACATTTAAACACTCGGGGCTTCTGCGAGCTTAGGGAAGGGCCAGCTTGGTGTGTCTGCATGTGCTCCTGTTAAAGACAACACAGGAATGAAGGAATGTCCTTGGTCACAGGAACTGCCCCACCTTCGGGCACTCAGGTCCTGTCCAATGTGGCTACAAACAATGCCGCCACGAATGGCCTTGGGCGTTTTTCGTGCTGATTCACAAGCAGGTGCAGAGACCGTTGGTTAGGGGCCTCCCCAACTCCCTAAAGAAGGCTACCATGTCCAGTCTCACCAGTACTGAGGGGATCTCAGTCTCCCCACACCTGCCACAGGTGCTGACCGCTTTTTTAGGATTGGCCACTCTGAGGCACGACAGTCTCTCCGTGTTCTTCTCATTTGCATTCAACACTGACAATGACTAACGTATGAACATGCAATTGGCTCATGCACCACCAGACCTCTTAGGACTAAAACACCCTGGTAAACACCCTTACCTCAACAGACTTTTTCCTCAAAAAAATTGCACAAGCTGTCACTGAAATTTGTGGTAACGTTTGTGACTCAAGAGTGACGCCCTTCATTGACCGTGAGTGAGCTGGGCACCGGGGAGGGGCTGCAGTGGCGGCTGGGGGCACTGTACCTTGAGGTGGGTAGCCCGCTTGAAGGCCTTGCTGCACACGGGGCACACGTGGATGCGCTCCCGGCCGTGCGTGTCCTTGCTGTGGTGCAGCAGCAGAGCAGACGATGCGAAGCTGCGGCCACACTCCAGGCATGGGTGCTGCCGGCTCTCCTTCTCAGGCTGGCTGCCTGGGGCCAGGTGAGCGGAGACGTCAGTTACCTGAGATGGGTCAGAGATCGGGACTTTACTCAAGGGTGTAGTTGGCAAACCAACAGAAGACAACAGACTCACTCCATAGGCACCAGCCACAGTGCCCGCCGTGTCCTCAGGGGGCTTGGTGCCGTTAGACCATGATGGCACCCACCGAGTCCTGACTGAGTGGGTTCACAGAACAGAAGGGGTCACCTGAGAGTGACTGCCAGTTGCCTGTCCACTTCCACATTGCTGTCTGTCCCAGTGAGGGCCGCTTCCGCATCTGAGAAACGTAACTATTCACAGTACCTGCCTGTCAGGGTTCAGTGACACAGCAAGGACCCAGAAAATGCTGTTAGTGCGAGGGTTAGCTTCGACACACAGAAATGATATTGCCAAGAAGTACTATTGCTATGGCTGGAGATGTCTCTTAGCAAACTGCACCACAAACAATTCTCAGCTTCTGATTGGATTAAAGGATTTCCCCTAAACTTTGGATCACACCTTTAATGGGCTTTCTATTCACTCTAATAAAATGCTGTTAAAAATAACTAACAAAATAAATGAGTGAGGCAGGAGACCTTCTCTGCTTAGCTCTTATAAACAGGAGTTTAGTTTTGCAAATAAAAATTTATGACTTAGTGAAAGAAAACTATAAACAATTCTAAAAAAAACTGATGGGGGAAAAAAAAAAAAAAACAACTGATAGAGTTTTCTATTTCTAGCCAATACTTCTTCGTAATACTAGGAAAGACAAAAGTGGATACACTTTAAAGAAAACAACACAGAGTGTCTATAGGGTACTCTAACATTGATCAGCACTCAATAAGAGAGAATGGAATGAAAGAGCAAAGGTCAGTCAGGAGAGCAGAGAGAATGCCAACATGTCGCAGGAGTGATTCTGTGACGCTGTGTCAGGTGTGCACATGTCTACATGAGTCCCTATGTGTAAAACAGAAACAACAAAACACCCATGTGTATTTAGGACACCGAATAAGGCATATTTCTTGTGAATCAAAAACAAACTTGAGAACCTCTAGAGTAAGCGGTGCTTCAGGCTGCTCTGTGAGTGCAGATACATACCTGGTTTACAAGTGTTGCATGCAAAGCATGCAGTGACAGGGCCCGAGCAGATAGTGCTCAGATCCACCAGCACACTCAATATTCACCGGCAAACAATTACTTCTGAACCCAACACCTCACTGTGAGAGGGAACATTCACTGTGCCTCTCCCATGACAACCATGGATGTCTCTGAGCCCTGGGTGCCCTAGTGCATCACTGAAGTAAGCGTGGTCCTGGGGACCTGGAGACCAATTGCAACCTTTTTACAAAGAGAAACTCAGCAAGAGGAGGGAAATTCCCTATGCAGGTCATGTCTACCTTCTATGAAAAAGTCCTGGCCCCACTAAAAACTAGTGAGTCGTCATCTTGAAAATCATTTGCTAAAATTGCTGAAGCATAAAGTTAATGCTTCTTCCATTCAGAGACTGTTACTGTATTTGTAACTCTGAAAAGCTTTAAGAAAAGAGTGTGTAGACTCTTCTATATTTATAACTATCATTCGCTGAGTAGAGACAACATGCATTTTAAGAAATGAGACTACTCAAACGACAAGTAGGTCATACACACACCTATGATTGTGTATATGAGAGAAAATGTAACAAGTCTATAGAAGATTAGCAAAGGTCTTTCAAGAAAACCTATAAAAAAAACTAAATGGGGGTAAATGGCATGTGAAGTCTGATCAGTAGGCAAGTGGAAGAAAATAATAAATTTCTAACTAGATCCATACATTATTGTTTGCTACCTCTCACTGTGTGGTGCATAAATCATGGAAGGAACAACATCTAGTATCAGCAGTTCAGCACTCGCTTCCCTGGACCCTCACAGCTCATACTATTCACACTCAGGATTTGCTGCAGACCCACCTTTTCATTCCCCATCTCTTCTGAATCTGTGTTTTTAAAAAGCATGAATGGTTGTGAGTGACAGCGTGCCCTGTACCTGGTAGGCGATCTCTTCACAAGCAGTGGACCCTGGCTGTGGGGTATGGCTCACCAAGATGACCTGTGGCGAGCCTGCTCCTCCGTGGCCTGAGAGGGAGGGATCGGTGAGCAAGGCTGGGAACTGCTGACCCTGCCGAACAAAGATAATCACTACTTTAGACATCATAACATTATCATATCCAGTAATAATTTAGGTCTGTTATGGTGCAGTCGTTTTGGAAAACAAGTTGACAAGTCTTCAGAAGGTAACCACAGAATCACATGACTCGGCAATTCTGCTTGGAGATATCTATCCCCCAAATGAAAACCTATGTCCACTTGAAACCTTGTGCATGAATGCTCAAAGCAGCTCTACTCACAATAGCCACAAAGGGGAAACAGTCCATAATATCCATGAAGTGGATAAACAAAATGTGGTATCTATGTAATGAAATATTATTCGACAATAAAAAGGAATGAAGTATGACACAGGCTACAACATGGATGAACGTTGAAAGCAGTCACTAAATGGTAGAGGCCAGTTACAAAAGAGCATTGTATGATTCCATTTATGGAAAATGTCCAAACAGGCAAATCTGTGGGGACAGGAAGTATATCAATGGTTTTCAGAGGCTGGAGAACATAGCGCGGCATGGGGTGAGCTTGGGGTCCAGGGGGACACGGGAGTGATGGCTAACTGCCAATGGCACAAAGTCACAAAATGTCCTAAAAGTAGGTATGCTGATAGTCACACAAATTTGTAAGCACGTGAAAGACTATTAAGTTGTTATAAACTACATGTAAAGAATGTTTTCTTGTTAAAAATACACGTACCACTTTGCACAGAACTACTATGCGTCTTATGACCACTCTAGCACACCCTTCTCTACTGACTGGGAATCGAAGACAAGGCAATAATAGATGTGGTCAGTGGAATGGGGGTGCAGAGGGGAAGCTCAGCTTAACTTACCTGACTTTGTACTACAAATGCTGAATCTATATAAACAACTTAATACAGAACTGGAACTGCTAAAATCAAAGCTACTTTTAAACATACGTTATGCAGACTCCAAATGCTCTTTTGAAGCATACTAACTTGAAGACTCAATATCAGTGCCTCATGCTGAAGGGTAAGGAGTCACTAGGACACGTGGGCCATATGTCAGGTACCCTGCCTGCGGCTGAAGGTGAGGCTGTTCCTCAATGTCTCCAGGAGAACAAAACAATCTGGGTTCCCACAGGGAAGATAAAGAATGGAGGGGGAGAACTGAGAAGACTTTAAAAAACTTCACCCATAACAGAACACTGGGTCCACTTCCTGCGGGAAAGACACTTCCTGAGGCAGACAGAGAAGGGCAATGGGTAGGACCTAGACAGGTGGGGCAGACGGGACGCTACAAAGTCATTTTTACAGCTCCAGACAAGCAGAGCTTCTCAAATTGACTTGGATGCTTTTTTTTTTTTTAATGTTTTTATTGATTTCAGAGAGGAAGTGGGAGAGAGAGAGATAGTAACATCAATAATGATAATTATGGAATTGCTGCCTCCTGCACGCCCCCTACTTGGGGATGAAGCCTGCAACGTGAGCATGTGCCCTTGACTGAAAGTAGAACCCAGGACCCTTCAATCCATAGGCCAGTGCTCTATCCACTGAACCAAACTGGCTAGGGCTGACTTAAGATTCTTTACTTCCCATATGTGCCTTTTAAAAAGGTGAAATGATAGTACTTTAGGTATGTCCATGTATCAAATTGTTTTACCTAAACATGGCATAGATTGAAACGGTGCCATCTGTACTAGCAAAGCTTTGTGTTATGACCCCTTACAAGGGAAGGTTACCCATCTGCTACATGTCTATTGTGGGCTTTGCCCCACTCTTAGCACAATACCAATGTGGAAAAATGGTGACAATCAAAATCATAAATTCATATCTCCTATTTTAAAAATCAAAGATAAATACAACTGCTGGACAGAAATTCAGATACAACTAACTCAGTGTTGGTTCATAAATTAACATTCCCAACCAAAAGCAATGATATTGGAGACTCTTAGCACATGTGGGCTTATTAAGGGGAAATGACAAAACTATAGAAGAACAGACTAGCAGTCGTCCGGGAGGAGGGGTGAGGTCCTTGCAGGCGGATACGGTCTATGCCTGACCTTGTGGATGGCAACGCCTATGTGACACCATCTACAGATCTGCAGGATGCCATCCCTGGGGGACACTGGATAAAGGGTACACAGGATCTCTCTAACTTGTTTCTTACAACTGCCTGTGAATCTACAATTATCTCAAAATAAAAGTTTAATTAAAAACCTATACACAATGTAATTTACTAGTGTATTATTGCTGTTTCTATTGCTAATATTAAGTATTCTTAGTGCAAATGCTTGACTCAATAAGCAAAGCCCAATAAAATAAACCCAATGGTCAGCTGGAATCCACTGAAATAGTACATGAAAGTTGTTTGTTTCTGGTGTGCATGATTACTTGAATTTATTCCTTTGCTGTACGTGGTTTACACTGAGAAAGAAATTACAATAATCTCACTCCCCGAGGGCACATGATTCCCAAGTGCCCATGCTGGCTGAGGGCGGGGCTCTGGCTCCAGCTGCATCCAAGGGACAGGTTAAAACTGTCACTTAGCGAATACGAAGAACTGCTCACTGACCTCTTACTTTAGTTATGATGAATAAATTATAATTATTGATGATTTTCTAATTAAAGCTGCCCAAGTTTTCAAGTCTTCACTCAATGCATTATGTGACACAGACACCCCAAGACTGCACTCCCCCGGCAGGGACTCGTCTGAGCACATCAGTGATTATTTGCGGAGTCCTCAAGGCAGCATAGGCCCCTCAGTAAACTCATCTACAAAACTCAATGCTGTGTAGCCACTAATGCCTGGGCTGGAAGCATGGATGGGGATGACCTTCAGAATGCAGGCAGATGGAAAGTTTACACTGCACAAAATACACAGGAACTCGTTTCTGAAAACTTTAAAACACATGTTAGTATTTGTGCACAGGAAGGTGTGGAAGGGAATATACACTAAAATGTTAATGGTGGTTCCCTTTGAGAAGTAGGATTTTTTAAGGAATACTTTTTTGTATTGTCTAAATTTTTTTGTTTTCCCCTTTTTACACTTAATATATTTCTTTCCTTTTAATCAGAAAAAAGACCTTCAATTTCAAAATAAAATGTTCAGAAGACAGATTTGAGAAGAACTAATAGTTTCTCGATCACTCCTTGCAGAGTGCGGTTAACTGCACAATGATGGGTCAGGTGTGCACCTACCTGAGAAGCGATGTTGAGTGTGACCGTGTCCAGTCCTCCTGAGAGCAAGCCCTGAGTGTCAGCCAGAGTGAGGGTGACACTGGCCTCGCCTCCCACTCCTGACGAAGACATGACCAGGTTCTGAGCAGAGAGGGCTGATGGGGACGCGGGAGCCGTGGAAGAAAGGCTGCTGGCTGCGGTGCTGAGTTCTACAAGAAAGGTCAGGCGAGCAGATCAGTGGGAGAGCTGGGGGAGTGGGAAGGACGGTCTTCACAAAGGAGCAAGCCTGTCGTCACCAGCACCTACACTGTCTAAACTTCTGAAATGGCATCACAGAAACACAGAATCTTTGATTCCAGTTTTACAGCAAGCTTTCTCCAGTTTCTAAATGTCTTCGTGCGTAAATATACTCTGCTTTAGTATAACAGAGAGAAAGAACAGTATAAGGAGAGTAAAAACCTGACCCTACAGCCTCCGTCACTGCTATCACCATGGAAGGAAACTCCAGCAAGAACTTTCAGGACCCTGTCCCAGCAGGACCAGAAACCAGCCACAGAGAGGAGTCCACCAATCCCTGAGTAGCCGTCAGGCCCCATGCAGAAGCTGCCTGTCTCTGTTCATGTTCACTGTTCACCTCACATCTGCTTATCCTGAGCACAGGCCATCCAGATAAAACTGGACAGAAATGCTGCCTGAGCCTGCCACTGGCTCCCTCGGAGTTTATCTTAGAAATGGCATGTTTAATCTGAAACCAGGTAACTGTAATGCCTAGGCTCACTGGCGTGACCTGAATCCTGGTCTGGAAGTGACTTTGACTCTAAGGTAAATACTCCCAGTGAGATGACAATCTCTTGACCAATACTGTGTAGATGGAATCCACTATTTAATTATAAGTAGTTACTAATGGAATATGCAAACCTCTCTAAAGATGTGCTTTACACCAAGAATGGAGTAGTTATCTGAAGTCTCTTCCTAACTCATGGCCAATTCAAAGATGGATGCCAAGACCTTCACCTTCAAGAGGCACCATCACATGTGTCCAAGTAGGCAGAAGGGAGATGCTTCATGTTGACTAACCACAGCCTCAGAGTTCATGTGCCCTCATTCCACCTGCTCTCTCCACCTGATCAAAACTCCAGGATCACCAAGTAGCACAAAACCAGTCCATGTAAGTGAAGAAATGAGGCCCTCTCCCTGTCTGCCCATCAGTGTGCCGAGGGCTCGCTGGAGACATAGGTCACACGACCCTGGCCAGCCCAGTGCAGCAGGCTGGGGAGCCTGGGTTCCTGACATTCCAGAGCCTGCTAACCCTCTTTCCACTCTGCTGGTCCAACATGTCCCACGCAGAGGGCAGAAGAGGATAATCTCACAGCCCAGAAACAGGATTCTGGGTGTGGTCAGAAAACACCTATCTCATTCTCACAAAAACACAAGAATGACTTTCAAAGAAAAATTTTCTCTGTAACTTAAAAGCCCATGATATACTTCAGATGTCTTAACCTATTACAGAAAAAATTATAACTTGAAAGTCCTAATTTATACCCAATTAAAACATAAAACAAAATTCCCTTTACTTGGAAAATAAACAAAATTCTCTCATTTCAAATGAGTAAGAAATAAGTTCTGTGACAGATTCCAGAGCCCCAAACTGAACAAGTGAGCAAACGCAGGAGAAACAGAGCCTGGAGCAGCATCAAGCCTGAGACCTGGCGGGAACCATCACTGGCCAGATGCTGGGGTGCTGGATCTGCCAATATGCTATTCAGACTATCCTAACCACTCAGGCCTCAGTTTACCCCTCAGCAAGTGAGAGGATAGAAAGTTCCCAAAGGTCCTGAGTGCCTATGCCCTACTTGGATCCAGCCAACTTCTGCACCATAGCACCACGCCTCAGCCTAGCAGAGGTCATCTGGCCTGTAACACAATGTCACTTGTTTGGGAGAAGTGCTCCCCACAGCCCCACAGTGCCACTTCCTGCTCATCCCAGTGTCCAGAGAGGTCACCCGGACTGAGTCAAATCCCCTGTGACCTGCTTGCTGGCACCATTCTATCTCCTGTATATACTGTTCATGTAATTACATGAATTCTTTAATAACTGTTTGTGTTCTATTAGTTTCTAGGACCCAAAATGCCAGGGGACTATATCTGTCTTGCTCAGTATCATGTTCTCAGACTTACACCCAGTTCTCAGTACAATGCTTACACCCAGTACACAACACAATCTCTTACTGAATAAATAAATTACTGGATAAGAAAGAATTTCAACAAAGAACAAAAAAAGTCTAGCTGTGAGTATAAGTACCTGTAGACCAAACTTTTTCTCAAAAACTGAACCAGAGAGCTGGAAAATAAGAGGCTTAGAAACTGATAAAATCTCTATAAGATAAAGAACATGAGAAAGGTATGGCATCCTAAACTGTTAACAGTTACTTATGAAGCAGGGCACAGAGGATGATGAGCCAGGACCTCACAGCCCAGGGGAGAAGGGGAAGCTGTCATGAAGCTGTGATTTTATAGGAGCTCACTTCCTTTTAATTGTGCTCATTTATTTTTATAAAAGTCTACTCCTCAATACCTTAGAAGGATGCCTTTCAATTGTGTTATCTACTGTAGTGGAGCATAAAATTCACATTGCAGGGCACACAGGATGATGAGCCAGGACCTCACAGCCCAGGGGAGAAGGGGCAGCTGTCATGGAGCCATCCAAGTGCCTGTGTACATAAATACATAATGCCCTAAGTATCTGAATACCATTACTTACTGCTGTTCCTTAAAATATAGAATTATCAATTGGTTGATAATTCTACAAAGACCTCTATCACCATCAACTACTGTGGAATGACACTGCATGTGATGGGACAAGGGGTTGAGATGTCGTGCTAATGGACCTTCAGATCCCACTGACCTTCAGATCCCACAATGTCACCATCAGATGCATACCTGAAGAGGTCAATGCTGCACTCTGCGTGAGAAGCTGGTCATTGCTGATTGTCAGGGTGGCACCTGCAGACTGATTATTGACCGTGGCCCCGGACAATCTTATTGTCCCGTTTAGCTCACTGCTTCCACCAGAACTGTGCTGAATAAGGTCTTGACCTAAATGGAAATTAATACTGTAATATCTGAAAGTAGCATGGCGATTTACACTCTGGCAAGTGTGATGAGCATATAATACCATGTTTATAGAAAAAGTGAAAATAAGACCATGAAATAAATTTCCCTAAATGCAAGTATTTGTTCACACTTTTTAAGCTGTATTTTTCAATTGCTTCTTAAAAGTTCTGCTTTAACTCAACATTTAGGCACTTAAGTTACACGCTTTGTTGAATTAAACTTAAACTGAATTGAAAATATTTCCCAATGTGATGGACTACCAGATGTAGCAAAGTGTGTTAAAAAGGGTCAGTGAGATACTACAAAATGATACCAGCACCGCCCTTAGCTGGCTCCCATGTAGCCAGCTAAGCTGTGGCACCTTGGATGCCCGGTAGGAAGGGCTCACAGTCACCAGGAGGCTCACAAGCATTCCAGTGCACCCTCCATGTCTCCCACCAGGGTCCCACACCTGCTCATGCCAGCCCCTCAGCTACTGTCACATGTCATAGAACCAAATAGTATGGGAGCAGGTGAACATGAGAGTTAAACCTGCTGACGTTTCAGTGAGTACCAAACAGAATTCTTGTGAAAGACTGGACAAAGACAAGTTGCTTTTAAAAAATTCTGCCATCAGGTTAGGCATAAGCATAGTAACTATACAAAACAGGAGGAAAAAGCATCAGAAGACAAAAGAACACTGCACTCTGCTCTGTCATTACCAGCATCTTCTGGGATTATAAACAGACAAACAGGACAGGAAGCCGAACACGGTGGGCTATGTATGGGCAAATGGAACCACACAACTGCCATGGTCAGAGCAGACCGGTTTTCAGGAGACCTAGGATTCACTCTTTGGTTCTGTTTCACACAGCTTTTCATTAACAACTGGCCTGGAAACATGAGTTACTAAATCTTCATTGCATATATGCAAGGTAACTCAGGGAGGTGAGGACCAGCCTCTCCTTTACCTAGTGTGTATAATGTTTTTCTTCAAATGACTTATGAATGGCTAACAGAATATAAAACTTAACTGAAGTAGTATTTATGCACAGTCAAGAGTCCTGTGGGAAGAGCCACCTGTAACATGTGCTCCGAGCTAACAAGTCAAATACGCTGGGAGCATGAATGACACCACGCAAGAGAAACACCCGACAGCGAATACTGCAGTCTGAGGCAGAATGCATGGGCTTGGTGACAGACTCATAGGGTTCTTCTGCCAGTTTCAAGTGACTTACACTGTCAAAAGGTATTCTTACTTGTTTATTACTTGTTTATTTACCTCTCAATGTTTCCCATAGTTCATACTTGTAGAATACATAATCCCAATAGAATTGTGAAAAGAGTAGAAGAGTAAGCTCCCTATAATCTTTGACAATGCAGTTTATCTGGATTATATTCCATTAGTTTAATAGAGTACGAATGAGACTTGTTTTCTGCTCTTTGCTAAACAAAAAAACATGTGAGAAAAAAAATCACTTAAACTGGAAGCGATGGAACTATCAATTTCTGTTATCAAATTTGAGCAGTAACATTGTCACTAAGCCTGAATTTCTTACCTGAATCATAAACACGTATTGGGCACTGGCTTTATGCAAAGCTGAGTGTATAAAAAAATAATATAAATGAGACAGACTTAGATTGCAGGCAAAAACATGTGGAACATGAATGACTAACCAGAGATAGTCAGCGTGATTTCCTGCGGGGACCCCGAGGACGACGTGGTGGGCCCAGCAGCCTGTGCCAAGACCTGGCTGAGACTGGAGTTGTTGATGGTCAGGGTGATCTCGTGGGGGCCGCTGGAGGTGGACACCAGGCCTGGCGATGGTATCACTTGTGCGAGGTCTTGAGTCCCTAGTTATCATTACAGAACAAAACAAAGCTGGGCTTAAACACACAATATTCTCTTCTTATATTAAAAATATTTCAGTGAAACTGTTACTTCAAAATGAGATTTGAAATAAAATCAGTCACCTCTAATTCCTTCACCTATAAAGATAAGAAAGCCTTATGAAATAGGAAGCCAATGGGACAAAATTAATTCCATGAATGTTACAATCTACATGCACATATTGAGTAAACATCAATTAAGGCATAGGACATTTGTTTAGTGAGCTTTAAAAAGAGAAGAAATGGCATCACAGCATCCTAAACTCAATTTCATGATGACAAGCACAAATCTGACCCTCCAAAGTCCAAGCTCACAAGAGTGGCTCTTACCACTGCTGCTAGTGGTCAACACAGAGTCCTGCTCCGACATCGAGCTAATGGTCAGGTTGGCAGAGGTCACTGTGGGTTGTAAGGACAGGCCTGAGATGGGCTGGATGACCACACTGGCTGGGACCGTGCTGTCCGCTGTCTGAAGGGAGCTGTTGTGTGAGGCCGAGCCCGGCTCCCCCGTCAGTTGCTGAGCAAGCAGGTTGGTGGGCTGTAAGCTTTGCTGCAAGACTCCTGGGTCAATCTAAAAGGCAGCACACACATTTGTAATGAAGTTTCATGCTGTGTGACTGAGATAATATTCAAGCGTAGGAAACCATGGCAGGTGCCACACCTGTAATGTGATGTTGTTAATGCCGGAGGTGTCAATTCCAGAAATTTGAACATTAGGCCCAACCAAGTTAGCTGCCAGCTGTAACTGGATACCTTCCAGGGCGGCCAGGCTCCCATCCGTCAGAGACACTGTCCAGTCACTGCCACCTGCATGGAAAAAGAACAAGGAGGAACGGGTATCAGAAAAGGTTCTTCAATAGGAAAACTTAAGTTTTACATATGTATCAATATGATCTGGTGAAGGAACACTGAAACCCACTTTACACCATACACACACATTGTCTGATTCAATCATCACAAAACACACCTGTGAAAGAGGTAACATCACCATCACAGATCAGAAAACGAGGCTCAGGGCGGGTACACTGACTAGCGGACACTTAACACAGCAACTGCACTTCATTAGGCTCTGATCACACCCCAGGTTACGGACACAGGGAGAATCATATCTCACATCTGCAGACATGTGGTACATCTCTAGGCCCTTATCAGTCCCCACACACCAGCTGCAGCCATACCTGACACGGAGCCAGGGAGAACGGCCTGGCTCACTAGTCCTGGCTGAAGCAGGTTTGGATCAAACTGGCCAGTCAGAACCGAGTTGTTCATGATCAGCAAATTTGGGTCAGCAGAGGCCGGGCTCAGCAGGCTGGCGGGCTGCAGCCCCTCGGGCGCACTGCGTGGTGTGGACTTCCTGGCTTTCTTGGGGTCAGGCTTGTAGTGAAACTGCATGTGAGTCTTCCTCCGGCCAGACGTGCGGAAGCGCAGCTCGCAGTGCGGGCACTTGAAGGGCTTGGCTCCAGTGTGCAAGCGCATGTGGACTTTCAGACTCCCCTTGGTAGAGAAGGCGTTACTGCAGACGTGGCAGCTGAAGAGCTTCTGACCTGTGAAGGGCCAAGAGTCAGCGTCACGTACATGGCAGGGTTGGTGGTGTGAGTGTGAGCTTGTGACCCAGGGTCTGAAAGGGAACAGAATCCCTCCTCCTGAGAGCGACAATATCCCAGCTCTCACCACTACCACAGGACATGCTGGTGGCTCAGCTCTTTATATTCTTTCCTGAAAAGAGGCACCCAGGAGCCAGCACAGGTAGGGGCCACCTGGGAGCATGAGCTAGGGGCTTGCAGAGCCCTTGGTCTAGCACCATGTGCCCAGCGCCTGGACGAGACACTGAGTCCAGCGTGTCATGAAGACCTCGAAGGCACCTGAGGGCCCTGTCATGAGCATCAAGCTGCCCAGCAGAGTCCCAGGAGCAGAGTGTCATGATCTTGCTCCCCCAGAAATGGGCAGGCCGGGACACAGACCAGGATGAGAGAGGCGTTTGGCAGAGTCGTTGCTTTCCCTCCCAAGTGCACAAAGCGGACTGGAAACCCCTGCGTGCGCAGTCACCACAAATGTCACCACACCTGCCCGGAGCAGTCAGTGGGCTGTTACACCTAGTGAGGCAAGGACAGGTGGGGTGCTCCCCCTGAACCCCAGCAGTTCATAGAGTCTCCAAGAAGGTCAAACACCCAGAACCTAACAAAAAATTCCAGAAAAACTGTCCACAGAAAAGGCATGTCAATAGGTTCAAGTATCTATTTACTTGTTCCAAATATTAATCCCTCAGAAAAACATCATGGGGCTTTATAGAAACTTGTGAAACTGCATTGGGCTCTTTTGGTTAATTCTGTTTATAACCAAAAATTAAGACTATAAATTACCTCAACAGTCATCATCCTACAAATCATAATAACATCCCTAACGTTTACTGAGAGTCACTTAACTCCTAATTTTCCACAGGAGGCCCTGGAGGCTCAGACCAGTGGCTCAGAAGTGGAGGCCAAGGTCCAAGCCAGGTGGAGGGTGGCGCCTGCCTCCCAACCACTCGGACACACTGTGGAATCAGGACTCAAAGGCTCAGCACAGCCTAATTAACCTCAGTCCCTCAAGTTAGATGTAGGAGAGAAAGTGGCCGTAGAAATTGTACATTAATTTTTCCCTTCATAAGATTTGTCCCCACATGAAAAGAATTACTACCATGTAACTATAATCAGATGCTAAATTCCAGTGTTTACAAAACTTCAATAAACCAAATCTTTTTATGTCTGATTGAGAATACAAGATAAATGACAACTGGATATTTGAGACCTCATCCCTTTTCCTTAGTGCTTTGCAGATCATTTTCCCACATCAGGAATGAAAAAACTTTTATATCCATTTATCATGGTTCCTGGTTTTTATGCTTCCCATAATTTTGAAAGTATTGATGTGTGCACAATACAAAGGAGCAAACAAACATAAGACACAACAGTCAGGCACCAGCGACGCGGCCCACTTTTACCTGTGTGAGTCTTCACGTGGCAATCCAGGGTGGACTTCACAGTGAAGCTCTTCCCACATTCATCACATCTGTATGGCTTTTCTCCCGTGTGGATTCGAACATGCCTAGCCAGGAAGCATTACAAGTTCAATATTTTTCCTTTTTATGTGATACACAATTCAAGCAAACTTCATGATTTTAAATTTATAACTATCCATATAAATAAAAATTATGTGGACTAGGTACCAATACATTTAGCCAAATAAAACATTTAAAGTTTCACTCTCTGCAAAAAAAACACACACCATAAACAAATCCAAAAGACAACATGAAACCTGAAAGGCCAATGAAATCAGGGTTCACTGTTCTGAAAACAAGAGCTCTCACAGACCAGCAGTGTAGGAGCTGGTAGTACCTGCTACAGGCTGCACCCTACTGAGTGTGCACCAGGTCCTCTTCAATGAATCACTAAGCTCCAATTAGAACTTCACTAATACCACAGTCACATAGAAATAAGTATGAGCAATTTACAGAGCAAACACATTTCTAATTAACATTCTGCAAGAGCTTAAAAGGAAGCCTGAAAATCTACAGCAGCTTGAAGGGGGGACTCAGGAAACCTGTCCATGCGCCTTTAGTGGCACCAGGCTCAGCAACGGCCTCCCTGACTCAGTGACAATGGCCAGAGGGACACAGAGCATGAGGCCCATCCACAAGGCCACACCTACCTGACTAGGTCGCTGGGCTTCTTAAAGCTCTTGGGACAGTAGGAGCAGCAGTTGGCGAACCTGGGCTCAGCCTCCAGCTCTGCCTGCCGGTCCTTCATCTCGCTGATGCGATCCTTCTCGGCAGCCGACTGCACCAGCACCTGCTCTGACACTGTGGCGCTTTCTTGGGGCTGGATTTTGGCTAACTGCGCTGTCTCCTCCTCGGTGAAAGTGATGACCTCAGGACGCACCTTTCTAGATGAGTTTCTTTCAGAATTTTCCTCCTCTTCCTCCATGCATATATCTAAACAAAGTATAGGCAATGAAAAATGTGTTCCCACAGAACAAGTAAATTAGACTCAATGAGTATGTGTGGTTAACTACTAATTTACTAGTTACTACTCAGTGGAGCTATATTTGAGATTCAAAGAGATTGTTCCCACCACTATTGTACTGAGAAACTAAGCAGGGTCACCAGAAAGAAAGTCCAAGAAGGATGCACCTTGGCGGTGGATTGGAGACATCAGAGGGATACTATGCCTAAAGGTCCACTTCTTGCCTGCAGCTGTCAGCCCAACAGTGAGCTCTGAGACTGTCAGTGTCCACACCAGCCATGGGTATTCATAAATATAGTTACCCATTTGTTAACATGGGCAGGAAATGAATTATCATCAAATAAAGAAAAGCAGCAGCCCATAAGAGGCCCAATCAATAAACTGGCAAACAGCCCCCAATTACTAAAAGGAAAACATGTCTTTAAATATATGCGTGTGTATGTATTCTCTCAATAACTGTAAGGACATACTCACCCTGATTAAAAACAAGAATAATCTGCTATGAAAATGTACAGAAGGAAGATAAGTCTGGCTGTGAGCAGGTCACTATTTTTAACTATTGGTTAAAGTTTTTGAAAAAAGTTCAACAGAAACACTAGCTAGCAAAGTGAAAGTGGCTAAAACCAAATGAGTGAATTTATTTATTTATTTATTTATTTATTTATTTATTTATTTATTTAAAAATATATTTTATTGATTTTTTACAGAGAGGAAGGGAGAGGGATAGTTAGAAACATCGATGAGAGAGAATCATCGATCAGCTGCCTCTTGCACACCCCCCACTGGGGATGTGCCCGCAACCAGGGTACATGCCCTTGCCCGGAATCGAACCCGGGACCTTTCAGTCTGCAGGCCGACGCTCTATCCAAATGAGTAAATTTGAAGAATAACTGGGTGATTTCTTCTAGAATACAGGGACCAAAGATGAGAAGATGGGAGAAATGGGTGGGGAGGAAGGAACTGAAGGGAAGAAAAGGTCATGGAGAGGGAGAGAAGGTGAGTCCTGGGAGACAGCCATTTTTAGTAGAAATTCAAAAAAAAAAAAAAATATATATATATATAATGAATTCAAATTCCATATTCTCAAGAAAACTGGGAAAGAGTTGGGAACAGAAGGTTACAGATAGAGGCCCCACCAACACTGATAAAGTAATATGGATAACTGTATTAAAAGTTTTAAAGTAACCCAGAACAAAACCAACATAACAAAAAGTCATTAAGTAACAAGGGACAGTGAAATAGAACACAATAAACAGAAGATATAAAATATGACAGTGGTGTTAGGCCAGACAGGCTTACTGTCAGTCCACTAAGGAATTAAATCTCTATTATAAGGTTTGAGTGTAAAACAAAAACAAAAACAAAAAACCACACAAAAGAACAATTTAACAGGTGACAAGGGATTTCATGTGAAGTTCTTTTTGTCACTGATCCAAAGTAGGAAAACACCAAGACCTAAAGGGACCATCTGAAACTACATGCAGCATATGATGAAGCCATAACAAGTCTCCACATCGGTCCTCACAGCACTGACCTCATAGCATTACATGCCTTGTTGATTGATGGGCAAGTGCACACATGTTAGACTTAAGAGATTATTGTCACTGGCTGCAAACTAGGGGGTTCTAGAAATAACATATGCATTGCCTATATTTTTTTTTTCAATTCACTGAAAGGAAAAAGTTATTTCCTTTCTTTTTACTTCACTAAATCACGACAATGAAAACAGAGATAAAGACTCCACCAGGTTCTATCAGACTAACAAGCTGGAGCTCTCTGACTAAGCAGTGGAGTTGGGTTTGCTACCTGAGGAAGGTAAGGTACATTTAAAGACAAATCCCCCAAGTAGGAGAAAAAGCTCCATGGCAATCAGTCCAGCTCAGCAGATGGGGAGTAAGCAATTGGGGAGGGAGCATACGATCTCGTTGAGTACACGCCAAACACATCCCCAGTCTCTGCATATTCATTCCACATATATGAGTGAGTGATACACAGTGCTGCCACACCAGAGGTGGTGCCCTGTGACATGTGTCAAACTAGCATACCTCAAGCTATATACGGACTAACATTGGTTAAAAATACTAAAATGCCGTGTACTGGCATTCTGTGTCAAAATATACAATGTGTACATTCTTGACACTGTAATTTTACTTGTGGTATTTGATCAAAATAAATCAACTGATAAGCCCAAAAAGTACAAGCACAAAATAATACTGTTGAAATTACATACTACTTGTAGTTACTGGGCAAATAAGCTTGTCTAATTTTTAGCAAGCTCATGTACAAAGTGAGAGAAGTCCCACAAACCATAGTTTTTATTGTCAATTAAATGAGACTGAACATGGGGAGCAGAGGTTCCTAAATGCTCTTACTATTCCAGTGAAATGGGGTGAAACTCCATATATGTCTACAGGAGAGGACAGAACAAAGCATGACGGGATCCATGTAGTTGTTTGAACTGATGAGATCTGTGTATAGCATCAAATACGTCCAGGATACACATAAGGGGAGGGAAGATTGAGTGGGCTACAACCTTACATGGGGTACTATGGCAGATCTCTACTGGTTAGGAAATTAAGATTTCCATCTGTACGTGTGTCCGCCTGAAAGGGGGCTTCCTGCCTGGTCTGTGATGACTAGGGAGAGAACTTCTCTTTGAGCCTCTCTGAATCTGTGCTTCACAGAGCATATACTGCTTCATAGTCAGAAAAAAATTCATTTTATTTGTGACTTATGCATTAACTTATCACATTAGCATCTAGCTAATAAGCCTTGAATCAACAAATGGACAATACCTCCTCCTCCCTCAGCATCTTCAGGCGCTGATGTGGCAGAGGGACCTGCCTGGTGCCTCCTCATGTGTTTTTTGCAGTGGACTGTGGTCCGGAAGCTCTGCTCACAGAACGGACATTTGTAAGGCTTCAAGCTCATGTGTGTCGCCATGTGCCTGGTGAGGCTGCCGTTGGTAGTGAACGAAGTGTTGCAAACACTGCAGCTGAACGCCTTCACTCCTGTGACAACAGGAATGAGGAAAAACAAATGTCTTTTGTTTCCTTAGGTTAGTAAGTAGTCAAAGCCAACAGAGATATGTTCAGTAAGCCAAAGATGGTCATTAGCTGCGGTCGCCTAATTTCATGAACTGACTTTAAGAACATGGACACTGACATTTTCCTGACTCCCAGTGAAATCGAAGTCCCAGGAGCCTTTCTCTAAACAACCCCAAGGTCTCTCTGCCCCTTGGTCTTTCCCATTGAAACTAGCAATGTCTTTGTGGGATCTACTCCAGAAATTATTTTCAAATCCATCTTTTTTCACATTCCTACAGCAAAAGATAGAGTGGGCCCTGAGGAAGAGCCTACACACCTCTACACAGCTTCACTCTCACACGAAGTATGAACAAGAAGGCCACTCTCCTGATAACAAGGAAGCAAGCCAAGAAGGGCACTTTCCTCTGACCTGTCTTTTCTTCACCGAGGGGCCACCCTGACTTTCTAAACACACAGGGGATCAAGGCATATGGCTTCTACTGCAACGGCTCTGCTGACTCCTGGGAGGGCCTTTGGAGCTCCAGGTGACCTGTTCTCACCCATTAAAGCCACTGCCTACCCACCAAACTACAGACCAGCCTGCAAAACCTATCCTTGTTTCATTGTATGTTTTTAAGCAGTACACCTCTATTCTATATAATAAAACCCTCATATGCAAATCTACCAAAACGGCAGAACAACTGGTCACTATGATGTGCATTGACCACCAGGGAGCAGACGCTCAACACAGGAGTTACCCCTGATAATAAGTGCACTCCCACAGAGGGAGTGCTGCTCAGCCAGAAGCTGGGCTCACAGCTGGTGAGCGCAGCAGTGGCAGGAGCCTCTCCTGCCTCTATTGCAGGCGAGCAGTAAGGAGCAAGGGGTCCCAGACTGCAAGAGCCCCAGACTGCGGGAGGGATGCCTGACTGCTGGCTTAGGCCCCATCCCTGGAGTCAGACATCCCCGAGGGGTCCCAGACTACAAGAGGGTGCAGACTGGACTAAGGGGATTCCCCCTGCCAGTAGACAAATTTCGTGCAGCGGGCCTCTAGTCTATATATATATATATATGCCTGCCTAAGTGACTGTTACAGCTGGTCAACCAAATAACCTGTCGACTGGTTGCTATGATGCTCACTGACCACCAAGGGGCAAACGCTCACTGCAGAAGCTGCCCCCTGGTGGTCAGTGCTCTCTCACAGCCAATGTCCTGCAGCTGGCCTACCTCCCACAGTCCCTCCCCCTGCCAACCGGCCCTGATCGACCCCAATTGGGACTGGACCAGATGACCCCAATTGGTTCAGATCCCCGGCCAGACCGAGGGACCCTACCCATGCATGAATTCATGCACCAGGCCTTTAATTTTCAAATAAAACCTTATACAGAATATATGTCAATATTAAACCAATGTTATTAATATCTTCAATATATTAAGGAGATATAAGTGATATATTTAACTGAAGATCATATACCTGATAGCCTATTAAAAAATTTTTACATCTGAATAAGAGTATAATCTAATTTTAAAATGGCATAAGATTAGAATACATATTTCTCATTATGCACATGAAAAGAGGTTCAACATCATTAACCATTAGAGAAATGTGAATCTAAGCCACAATCAGATCCCAGTTCCCACTTCTCAGGATGGTCCTAATAAAGGACAGACAACGCGCTGTGATGAGAAGTGAAACTGAAACCCTCCTCCAGTGCTGGGGGACCAGTGAATGAGTTTGGGGGACTCAAAGAGGTAAACAGCATTGTCATAGGACTAAGGATTCCACTCCTAAACAGAGAAATAAAAACTGATATCCACATGAAAACCTACATGCAGATGTGCACAGCCTCATATGGAAACACCTCAAATGTCCAGAGTTGCTGAGTGAAGAAACAGAATGTGGGCTCTAAACATACAGTGGAAAATCACTGGGCATCAGAGCAATGAAGCCCTGATACCCATGCTATTACGTGGATGAGCCATGAACGTGCACTGAGAAAGAGAAGCCAGCGACAAAGGCCACAGATTGTAGGATTCCAGTTCCATGAAACCATCCAGAAGGGAAACTATGGAGAGACAGAAAGCAAGTGGTGGTTGAGTGGAACTGAGGCATGAAGGTGACTGGAGTTTGTTTTAGGTGTGATGAAAATGTCCCAGAAGTGGATAGTGGCAGTGGCACACAATTCCATGAACACACCGAGAACCATACAATCCCAGGGCAAGCAGACAATGACCTGTGTGTGTCTTCTCATGGGACTTGAGAACCCCAGAGGAGACGAAGCCGCGGCCACAGAGCTTGCACTTGTAAGGTTTCTCCCCCGTGTGTGATCGTACATGCTGCTTCAGGTGGCTGGACTTCTTAAAGCCTTTATGGCAATACTCGCATCTGTAACACAAAGGAAGGCACAGGCCCCGTGAACTCACAGCACAAGTGAGATGTTACCTCTAAGATGAAAACAAGCATGAGGTCCACCCAATCATCGAACCGTGGTCAGAAACTAGAGGGTATCCAACACGTGACACTATATAATATTTGCAGTAACAATTCTGTTCCAAGTATCTGTAGGTTAAACATACCTAGTAAATCCTACAGTGATTCCCCAGCAGGCACAGTATTTTACTATAGTCTTTCTTTAGAGAACAAAAAAATTTACTAGGTATTATTTTTTTTACTAAGTCATGAGACACTGAAAGCTTTCTTTGCTTAAGAGTCAATCATTCCTGAGTTAGACACGTGGAAAAGTCAATTCATAAACACTTTACAAACCAGATTTTATTGGAGCTACTTTGAATCTCTCTCTATATATATACAGTATTATGCTTCCCCTCAGTTGTTATGGCATATATTTAAATTGCTTTAAGAATGGAAATAATTATACATTTCAAAATTTCTATTTATATATTAAAAATTTTTTAAAAAAAGATTTAGAAAGTTTATTCCATTATATTCCCCGCTTCTTCCATTTCCTAGTTTCAGTCTATAGCAGGAAGTCAGTGAATCCCTCAACCTAAGACCAGGGATTTGCACAGTCAGAGCTCTCCTTCCTCTAATGTCCTACGGAGTCTAAAGGCTGACTGACTGAACATGTTTTGAAATTTCATTCTAATATGTGGGTACAATTCAGTGGAATTCCTATTAAATATTATCTAGAAAAGCAAGCTAACAGTATCACTGTTGATTTCTGAAAGTTAATTCTGCAGATGAGATGGAGATAGATTCCGGTCCACATGTCAGAAGAAAATCTACTGAGAAGTGAGTTGCACTAAACCAGGTGGTGCCCTAAGAGGGCCTAGACCCCAGATTTAGAACTCCTGCTCTGATAATATTTTGAATTTGTGAATTCAGAAAGACCTCAAGATAACACACTTTTGAAAGTACAGACTCTAATGCGTAAGAACACCAGTTCAGAGCATTTGAGATGTTGTACAAGAAAAAAATCCTATGGGGGAAAAAAAAAAAGGACTTCCTTGGCCTCCCAAAAAGTATAAGCTTCATAATAATAGCAAAACAACCCATTTTCAAAAGCTTTAATTAAGATCACTCATTTGTGGTAAGATAACTCACATCTTTTTTAAGAGTAAATAATGAGGCATATTTTCTTTTCTTAAATGGCTCTTAAAAAATTATAAACTTTAAAAAATATTTTAAGCAAATAATAAAATCATTAAAATATTAGGAGCTCAAGACAGTCTCTACAAAGACAATACATTTTCTTATTACATACATACTCATGTTTAATGTATAAAACCACATGTATTTTATTCACTGTCCTAGCCTGAGCTGGGGCTGCAGCCTTGTCTGTTTTTCCCACCAGGTATTTGGAGCACCAATAGCAGTAAGTGATTCCTTGAGGTTGCTCAGCACACACTGTTGGGTGGATGGTGAGCGGGTGGATAGAAGGAGGGAGAATGAGCAAATGAATGGACTTTTAAAAATTGCCTTTATAATCATATTGTACCTGGCACACAAGGTGTTTTATATAGATCACAGACGAGCCTTGGACAAAAAGGCACAATATAAATTTAAGTATGTCTGCAAATACAGTAATGGCTTATAGTGGTGACTGGAAGATACAGCTGAGCAGAAATGTACAGGCCAGGGAGAGGCTACTGCATCCAGACATTGGCCCTGTCATTTATCAGCTGTAGAAATGTTAGCACATAAATATCTTTTGTCCCGGATGCTTTATTTGTAAAATGGGGATGATAATGGAACCTATCTCCAGAGGTTTTAAGAGAGTTAAATTGCAGAGCCCTCGGAATGGTGGTGGTATTAGTTGGCTGTCGAGCAGGTGTGTGTACCTGTAGGAGCGCCGGCTCTGGTCCTCACTGTCCTCCAGGAACTGGCGGCGTGGCGGCGGCAGATCGAGCTCCTCTTGGGATGGCTCTTGAATCAAAGGAGCTGTCTGAAATTTAACAGAAGTATAAAGCAGGCTGCCTGAATGTCTATGAATAAGTACAAAACAACTAACAATCAATAAAAAGAACATTCATAAATGAGGAGTTAAAAGGGAGAAACTCCAAGTAGTTCACTGCAGTCACTGGGCCAGATTAATAATAGAAATCACTTAAACCGATTTTATAAAATACTTATTTTACTTACTTCTGTATAGATAGATAGATAGATAGATAGATTCAAAGTAGCTAACATTCCTACTAACTTATTTTAATACAAAGTTTAATCAAGCACAAAAGGAGTTCTTAATAAGACATCACCTTTCATCTACTCTATCCTGACAGAAAATATTTAATTTTTTTAACTTACTTTCTGAAAATATTAAATCTCCTGGATCATCACAAAATCACGGGAGAAAGACAACAAAACACTCCAGGGGCAGCCATGTGCCTATGGAGAGCACTCCCACCAGCCCAAGCCCACCGCGGCAAGGCTATCAGAAAAGCTTTTTAAGAGTGTGAACAACTGATTAGACAATCATTTTTGTAACTACTGAAAATTTTCCAAAGTGGAAAAATCAAAACCAAAACCAATGTCTTCAAGTTGACTAAGAGATAAAGTTTTTAAGATTATGCATTCAAACACTTATTTTTCATATGTCACTACTAATTATATTTCCATTCTAACATGTTTCTTTTAAGAATGCACACATAAAAATGTTTGGTTTTGTGACTAAAGCAATAATATTCTTCAGATGTTATTACACAGCACCCCACTGGCCATCCTGACATTTAACTAAAAAGGTAAAGCCGCATCAAGCTGAGGAAATCTTTTAGTAAAATTAAAATGTTTTAAGAAAAAAGCCCTATATACTAAACATTTACATTTTCACAGCTAACACAATAATCTTAATTATCAACAATTAGTATGCACTCTTAAGTAGGGGAATCCTAAATACTTACACTGAAGATTAAAAGGATGTGCTCAATAAGGACAAGTGTCTCTGCCATAAATACTCACCACATTCATAGGATCAGAGCTGGGAACCGGAAGCAGGTTCTGCTCATGGAAAGTTGTGGACAGGGCCTGAGACTCCAGTGTACTAGAATCCTGCAGCTGCTGCACAGGTGGAAACTGAGTCTGCTGACTGTATGTATCAGGTACCGTAAAATCTAAAACAAATTAGAGAATGAGTTCTATAAAAATTATGAGTTACACAAAAAAAGTTAGTTTTATATTTAAAGGAACACTGCTACTTCTGAGTTGAAATCAGTAGCAGTTCTTACCAGGATTCTCTAGAATCATCTGTGAACAGGCGGGAGGCCTGCCGCCAACACCCAGTTACCCCTAAGTCTCCACTTTAACTCAATTCCTTTTTCCTGGCTATAAACTGCACATAAAATGGTTGTTAAAGTCACTTTCTAGAAAATGTGAGTGTGCCACAAAACACACACACACACACACACATCATGCAAAAAACTCTCCAGTTTGTAACCACTGATTTTGGAGGGCCTTAGAAGAAACACCAGGTTGTGAGGACAACGAACGACAACCCCACTTGGAGCCAGCACTTACCCTGTGATAAGCCAGTCGGTTCAAAGGACTGCTGCGGAGGAGCCTGCTCTTCAAACTGGTCCATGTGCCCTGGTAGCTGCGGAGCCACAAACCTGTCTGGGAACAAGAACACAAAAAGAAGGGCAAGTTATTTCCAGGACACTTTCACCTTGTGCTCCAGAAGCACTTTACAGCACCCACACATTCAGACAGTCTTCCGTGAAGTTCTAAATGCAGTCTGTCAGCAACTGCTTAAAACCTTTGTGGATGGGCATTCTTCCAGGAAACAGAAAGGATACAAACTACTAAATCCTGCTCAAAGATTAAGTATATTTTGGGACATCTACAAAACAGTAAATTGGCCAGCGAACTGGCCTGCTAACAGGCCTGTACATGACAGAAGCCTGAGCTAGATATAATCAACAGTGGCACTAAGCTCACTGTCCACAGTAGTGCTGGCATTTTCATAGTGTGACTCTGTCGATGGAGGAAGCAACATGTTGGTTTGGAGCATGAGGTCCTTGCAGACCAGTGACAAACAGTTTGCAGACCTGCAGTAGCCTAAGATGGCAATGTACCAGAATAGCAATGATTTAACAGATGGATACTTACTGGAAAGGAAACATTTTGCTACGTACTCAAGGACGCTGGTAGATTACAGGAAATACAGGTATCCAAAAGTTCTGTCTCACATCAAACTCTCTCTCACACACACAGACACAAGCACACTCTGTGGCCTAGTCAGAGATGGAGACACCGTAGAACCTGAATGATAATGAGGACTAAACCACTACACGGATGGTTCTAGAAGTCAAACCCTGACAAAAGTATACCTTCATCTGCCTCCAGAGGTGGCTCTGCCAATTGCTGGCCCAACCCCGTGTCTTCCGCGCCCACGACATGCTGAGGCTCCAGGTCGAGCATGGCATCGGGGTTTGCAGTGACTGCGTCCACAGGTGGCTGCAGCTCATCACTCTGGACCTCCACCTGCATCTGAGTGGCCACGTGCACACCCTGCTGGTCCACGGCACTGCTGTCGAGTGCCGCGGCTTCTTGGTGCTGCTGTAGCTGCTGAGCAAGCTCGTAGCTTCAAAAAACCAACCATGAGCACCAAGTTAGATGCTGCAGCAGGGACAGGAGAGAGGCTAAGGAGCAATATGTGCTTTATTTATTAAATCATAAAATTACTACTAGTACATAATAACTAATTAAGTTACATCTTTACATGTTTTCATTCTAAAGTCACAATGGCAATCCAGGTAAAAATTAAACACTGTTATGATTATGAAGAATAATCACACTGCCTCAGTGCCTTCTACAGGTATGGGGACACAGAGGCAGCACACTGAGAGTAAGGGCAGCATCCCAGAATTTTTAAGTTAATAAAAAATTTAAAAACCTGCCACATGTTACAAAGTAAAACTCTCCCAACACAAACTGTAGTGAGTTCAAGTTTCAAAAAAGGAATTGTACAAAGTGAGACAGCGCCTTTACAGACTGATTTTAGTATTATAAACCCTTTGGTGTATGGATAGGGACCAAGTCCTACGACCTGCTGTTTCATAGCCAGGCTACAGACGTCTTTGTGACCAATGACCCACTGTCTCACAGAGCAGACCAGGAGACATGCGACCACTCTGCTATTTTGCAAAATATTAATACTGCGATTTTACTATATGAAATATGTCAGGTATATTTTCATTAAGATCAACAATTTCACTGTCAAAGAGAAAATTAAGCAATGAATTCAAGTGAATAAATCAAAGAACTTAAAATACAACTGAAACAATTATCTGCTGAACAGGCTACACATGATCTCAGACAGAGTGACCTGTTTGCTAAGACATCATGATCAGACCCATAGGAGCTGCACTCTATGTTCTATTCCAGAATTTTAGGCATCTGCCTAAAATTTGTAGCTCCAAACAAAATCTTTTCACTTTATGATATAAAAATCACTTCTTGCCCTGACCGGTTTTGCTTAGTGGCTAGAGCATCGGCCCTGGGACTGAAGGGTTGCAAGTTCAATTCCAAGCCAAAGGCACGTATCTTGATTGCAGGTTTGATCCCTGGTTTCAGTCAGGGCATGAGTGGAAGACAACCAATTGATGAATCTCTCTCATGTCCATGTTTCTCCCTCTCTTACTCCTTCTTTCCTCTCCTCTCCCTTCCATTCTCTCTTAAAAAAAAAAAAATTATAACCTCTCAATAACTTTTGCTGAAGAAGGGGAACAACAACACAATAAAAAATAGTACTTGTGGCCTAGTTGTCACACAGACCATAATAGTGACTGCACAGTGACATCATGGTGTAACGAATCTTCTCCACAGCCCCTAGGCAAGGAGATGGTCCTGCACACCAATATGGAGGCCAGTTTTCTGTTCATTTCTTGCGGTTTTTCCATGGCTTTTCCTACAGGAATCTTTTAGACCTGTTTTCAGGGTGCTATAGTGCTTTAGGAATCACACTTCCCACAAAGGCTGAAACACTGCAGCTGCTCTGCTCAGTGGCAGGTTTGAAGTGCACACACTCCCTGAGAGAAATGCCAGCCCTGCAAGGGTAGACCTGCCAGTCCTTAGACCGTCTCCTTAGCCACACACCCATCTCCTAAAGTCACTGCGCACCTGTCCTTGGGTGGAATCTTGAGAAGCAGTGGCCAATGTGACACTCCACCTACTAGAGGTGACCCAGCCAAAATGCTGACCTGCTTCCAAGGAACTTTATTGCTGGCCATTCAGTCCACACCTAGGGCTTTACTGTGCTATCACCGCCACCACAAAGAGTGCATTGCAAAGGCTGTTTTCCCGACAGAGAAAAACACTCTTCACTACGCACTGAGCCCACGCTCCACGCCTCTGAGGACGGTATCAGGCCTCTGGTTGCCATGAGTAGAGCATAATGGCCTGAGCACCTGAACGAGGAATCCCCAGGTCCTGAATGCATAGGAAGCAGGTATTAATAATTTCCTCCCTAAATGCAATAACGTATTACTGGGTATGTAACAGCAAGCTTCCTCTAGACTGGAGGTGGGAAACCTTTTTACTGCCAAGGGCCATTTGGATATTTATAACATCAACACTTAATATAGTTCACTCAATATAAGTTAATGTTGCTATGAAAAAAAAAAAAAACTCTTAGATTTATTGAATTTCGTGTCCTGCATGTGGTTGCCTTAGTAAGGCCAGACCAATGATTTCTCAGGCCTGGATGTCCCTGACACCTGCTCTAGACTGACACCACCAATGTCATATTCTCCACATGGTCTCCAGAAGCAATTAAACTTCTGGGCTAAGGGATCACCTCCGACAGTCACGAAGGTCAATTCCGTCAGGTGTGCTGAGGTAGCCAGGTGGGTGATACCAAGATAACTTGTCGCAGCTAATTTACTCTAACACTGGGGGTTTGTATTGAAGGTGATGTCTGAGGAGAGACCCCTGAGTTAAAATACTGCCTAAAAGTAAATATTCTAAGGGCAGAAGGGTTAATATTCTATGATAGGCCTGGTAATTCTTACTTTCAAAATCTCCTTGGATGTTGCCTTACCAAGGCTTTCCATTACAAACAGAATTCTGTGGCTTCACAGAAATACCTACTGAACAAGCTCAGGATACCACCACAAACTCAGGTCAGCCAGGGCTGGCTGGATTAAGAAATGAGAGCGCCCGCTCATCAAGTAAAAATGTATGTCTCCTTTAATGATGGATTTATACGGTGGCTAGAATGTGCATTCTTTTAAATAACAACACAGACTAAGAACCATTCCATACACTGATGTTATGCCTAGAATCATAGGGTGGACCATGGTTGTCTCTTTGAAATCTTCACTACCTAATTAATAACACTAGACATAGTCTAGCACTATATCTTGTTACTATTGGTTTTAACAGAGAGCTTACAGAACATTTAGCTCAATATGAATTATTGGGCTAAAAATTAAAAATGCCTGTGGTTCCCAATAGATCCTTAGACACTGACATTAGTTTTTTAGCCCATACACCTCAAATTAGAAGTAATAACACAGGAGTCAAAGACAACTATTTCTCAAGAACACTCTGTAGCACCAATAGGAATTATAAGGGTTGTTACAGTGACTGTCAGAACTGTACCTACCGATGGGTTTTCATGTGCTTTTTGCAGTTCAGGGAGGTCTTAAAGGTCTTCTGGCAGTAGGGACACATGTAGGGCCGCAGGTCATTGTGGATGCCCATGTGCCGCCGCAAGCTGCCACCAGTGGTGAAAGCTCCGTTACAGATCAGACACTTGAATGACTTCAGTCCCGTGTGCGTTCGGACGTGTGCTTTGAGCACCCCTGCAGAAACAAAGCCTCTTCCACACTGAGAGCATTTAAACGGCTTCTCACCTGTGTGCGATCTAAAACAAATAAGTATGTTAATGACTGAGTGAGCTCTTGACACTTTCAAATGCTTTATTAACTCAGAACGCACTCTTGCACAGGATTTCACTGAGCAGCAGACATGCTCTTCCCTCCACCAGCAAGAACACCTGAGATGCCGCCTCAATTATGTGCAATTGAGGCAAACTAGAGCCCCAGGCTTCTCGGTTCTATGCTTTTCTCATGACCTCTGTCTACCCTGGTCAAGTTTCCAGTTTCCTTTCATTATTGTTAGCACTAAAAATCAACCTAAACTCTGATAAATATACATGAAAAAAATGTGAAAGAGCATAATTCTAATGAAACAAACCAAATACTTCTTTAACATGTCCTAGAAATTGCAAATACTTAAATATAACAGGAGTGTAAATAAAATTCAGTGGCAATTTCTGGCTAAAATATTTTAGTCAAGATACTAAGGAATAAAAATATAAATTATCAATAGATATTTAGGGTCAAATGTGACACTTGAAATTCCAAAAGCTAACACAGCCACTCTTCATATTTCTACCAGTCACCTGACCACCAGTTCACTGTCATTATCCCAGATTCCATTTTTTAATGTGCGACTTTACCTGATGTGCTGCTTAAGGTGGCAAGATTTTTTATATGCACGATGACAGTAAAAACACTTGTACGGTCTATCTGCTTCATTTACAAAATTATTATTAAAATAGCTTTGAAAAAACTGGTTTCTTGGAATGGGCTGGATAAGACCTACAAACCAAAAGAAAATCAGGAATAAGTCAGTGCTACTAAGAAAGTAAATGTCAAAAGCATCTGTTTTACCCAGAAGATGAACATTCTGAGGAGTTAAAAGTATAGATTTCAACATGTATGTTCACTGTGTTAAGAACTGACTATTTAAAAAATACCAATGGGGAAATACTCATAAAGTTAATATTAAATACACAGTTTTCAACATAAAGAATACCTATATCGTCAGTTAATTCCCTTGGTTCTACAGTCAATTTTAACAGATATCTACACTTATTTTCTGTATGACCATTTGTTGGCATGAAATTTACATAAGTACATTCAAAACTGAGATTAATCAGAATTTAATTTACTTATTTGCTCAGTAGTATAAAGACTGTACGCTAGGTCCTATAATAAATGCAAAACAGAAATGACTCTAACATGATCTTTCATTCTGAAAAAGTCAGCATTTTTCACAGACTATTCATCAAAATTAATAACTGAAGAACATGAGTTATTCAGGTTTTACATAGAGGCTTCCTGTGGCTGACCATGGACTACTGGGTCCTAATCAAGCCCCTGAGCTTTTGAGGCACTTCAGGAGGAACACAAATTTGAACCTGAGTGACAGCAGTTTACAGGAGCAATAAGGAGTGCCCTATGAACCCACCATGGCTCTCCCCGCTCCTCATGACAGGCAGTCTTCTGCCATGACCCCACTTGGCCAGAAGTCTCCCATCAGCTGTACCACTCACTCCCATGAGATGGCTATTAATGGGTACTGTCCCTGACCTCCCCAAAAGCCCCCATGAGAGCTCAATTATTTCCCTAAAACTGACTTTCTCCTCCTGCAGGCTTGAGGTCACCCTTGGTGTAGCTCCTTCAGACACAGACAGACAGTAGCACTGTCAGCCGTGACATCTCACCTTCATTAAAACCAGCTGCTCAGAATCTTACCTAGAGACTGCAAACTGGCAATGCGAACCTAGCCTCAAGCTCAGAACCCTCACAAGACCCACAGGTGTCCCTCCTCTCTGTGGTTCCTCCACGCTGGTGCAGAACCCCCCTTCAGCTACCCACTTCTGCAGTACATACCCCATCTGGCCCCTACTCCTCTAATTCTTTCCCTTTGGCTTCTGGAACCTGCGTATTCCATCATAAACAACCTCACAGTATGTCTGGTTCATAATTTATTTACCACAACATAATGCTCCTGGTCACATGCTTCCCTTGAAGCTCTCAGTCTCATTCCTAATGACCCATTCTTTGAAGCTAATGAGCCCTGACCTTGAGGGGTGGCTATCTCTGTCTTCCAGTTGTCTTCCCTTCCTTCCCCACTGGCCTGCACTACACCAGCCAAATCCCTTCACATCCAATCCCTTCCACAACTGCAAATCCGGGGGCTCTTCTGAAATAATTAAGAAGATAATACAAAGAAAAACAAAAGAGCTTGACAGGAACACCTCAGAGGAAACTGTAAATGAACAGCTTGGTGCACACTTGAACAAAAGGGTTTGTTACCTACAAACATAAATGGGATCAACCACACATGCTGTTCTGTAATTACTTGTTCATTAACATCTGTTCAAGTCATTGCATATGACAGCATCCCCCTCATCCTCTAGGTGTCTGCAAGGAATCCCGCTTTACCAACATGCTCAGGTCATTGCATGCAGTACTGCTGGATGTTTTCATCACCTCTAACTATGCACTGTCACGATGGGTGATAAACAACCTAACATGTACAATTGTGACCTCATGTTCCCCCAGACACAGACTCTCTGGACTGGTACCCAGGCACAAGTATTTTAAAACAGACCCAAGAAGATTCTAAGCCATTTGCAAGGGGTGGGGTGTGTGTGTGTCTGTGTGTGTCCAATTTTGAATTATTAAAGTAAGTAAAATGTACAATATACTGTGTTTTAAGTAACTAGACTGAACTGGGATATCTCATCTCCCAATTTAGTCAAATAATTGTAACTAATCTATACTAAAATTCTCTCTGACGTGTTTTTATCAAATGTCCCCAAATTTTATTAGTCACATCTATTAGATACTAGCCCCCAAACAGCCCAGAGTCTGAGAGAAGAGTCAGACATAAATATACATAACAAAGATGATAAGCATGAAAATAAATATTTATGATATTTTACATTTTACAGTGTAAAGCTATCTGTATGAATCATTTCCCTTTTGAATTCCGCTTCCACTAATTTGGCATAAAATGTAGTCATCTGTGAAGCCAAAGAGTAAAATATACGCCATTTTAACCTTTAAAAAAGTCTGGAGAATCAGGACTCTAGTTCACTCAAAACTTAAAGTCAAGAAACCCAGAGGTTTTTAACTTGATTCATGGTAACCTGAAAAAACTGGCAATATGAGGACAACCTTCAAGCATGAAGGATAATTCTAGGGCTATTAAATAAATGTTTAATCTGTCCTGACTTTTCAGGAATAACATAAACCACTGATAACCTACAGACTGTGGTGAAAATTAAATACAGTACATATTCAGTGAAATTGGTCTGTTTTGTTTGTGAGCTAATAAAACCAGATAAGGTATCAAAGTATTCTAACTACCATGGGAGTGTTGATCTGTTATCATGCTCTAAACCAGTGTTTCCCAAAGTGTGGTACCTGAACCCCAGGGGTACAGGAAGAGTTTGGTGGGAATATGCACTGCACCATGCTAGCTGGGCCTAATTCTACGTTCTCATGAGTACGAAGGGTAATCAGCATTACAAAAATTATAGAAGGGGTACACATATGTCAAAAGTTTGGAAAACACTGCTAAGCAATCAAAATCCCTAAGAATTATAGTTCCTCAGAAACTCAAAAATTAAAGCAGCCCAAATAATAATCAATTACACACCAAGTAAAACTTCTAAGATAAAAAAATCAAAGTACAAAGTGCACTTCACATAATGATCACCTATCCTTTTTTTAAAATATATTTTTATTGATTTCAGAGAGGAAGGGAGAGGGAGAGAGAGAGAGAGATAAAAACATCAATGATTAGAAAGAATTATTGACTGGCTGCCTACTGGAGATCGAGCCAGCAACCTAAGCTTGTGCCCTTGACAGGAATCAAACCTGGGACCTTTTAGTACACAGGTCAACAGCCTTATCCACTGAGCCAAACCAGCTAGGGCTTTGAGAGTTCCATTCAGGAAGAAATTTTTCTTTCACTTACACATATTTCTCTTCTAACCAAGAACATAATTTGAGCAGCAGTTTAAACAGAACTAGGATTTAAACTATAAGTGTGTGATATACCGGCCAATAACACAGCAAAGCTTTGTAAGAACTGCACTAATACCAGCCTGAAACGACATAACCTTACCTACGTCGGTTATGAGGATTGGCTCTTGCAAAGGAATGTCAGGGACTGGAGCGCTGGCCTTGCCTACACGAACCTTGGCAGGTTTCCTCTGGTGCCTCATCTTTCTCAATTCCGAGTGTTTAAAGTGGGAGGCTATGTGTGTCTTCCTGTGGCCTGAGGTCCGGAACTTTTTGTCACAGTGAGGACAAGCAAAAGGTCTGACTCCTAATAAAAACAAAAGTAACCATAGATTATCTCAAGAAAATACATCTTAATGCCAATATAAAATTTTAATATTTCACTATTGACTTAAACATTCAATTTGTCATTTCATGCTTATAGTTTCCTGGCTATTATAAATCACTTCTTTGCCCTAGTTTGCATATAGTTCATATTACAGATGTTAAGGCATGTAATAAAAGCATTTAAGTTAAAAAATGTACTATTTTCAGGATAAAGTACAATATGGATAGTCAAAATACTAGAAGTCCTTATAAATATTAAAATGTATGAACTGATCTCTCTCAAGCTGTAATCTGTGGCCTGGAGTCACATGCCTGCAACTGAGCTTTGCTGGGGTTGTGTGAATTCGTGTTTAGGGGGCACCCAGCATTTAGGAAACAAGCTGTTATTGATTGTAAATAACACTGCTGTCGCTGCTGATAGTAATAATATATTGTACTATCACTTTCCTTTTCTGAAGGAAATTTCCTTCTTTTGCAGTTTTATTGGGAAATGAAAATAGATTCCAGAGAAGGGCGTATTTTTTCAAACACTCATTCATGTGGTCAGTTTAGCCCTGGAACCCCAGGCAGGTCAGGCAAGTTACTACTAGTCGTCCAGGGTTCCTTTTAAAGGTGGTAAAAATGTGTGAAAATTCTGAACCGTACACCCTAACACAGTGAGTTTTATGATCTGTGCATTATATCTCAATAAAGCTGTTATAAGTAAAACTAGAGCCCGAATATAAGTTTTTCTGACTTAATACTGGTTACAAAATATCTGAACATTAGAGGAGACGTGGGTGCCCTCCCTGCCTGAGGCCAGCACAAAGGTCCCTGCTTGCAGGGTGCCGGCAGCTGCAGTGGTCAGGTCCTCACAAAGGGGGACGCTGCTCTTCCTTACCAAGGCCCATTGTCTAAACCTGAGCCTGGCTGCCCACACGTGGTCTCCCACACTACTCTGCTCTAATATGCTCCTTCCTGAGCCCTACGTTTGACCCCCCTCTTGCTGCCGGCAGCCGCAGGATCACAGTCACGGGGGTTTCCTCCGCCAGTACGGACCTCATGCCTAGCCTACAGACGCCATCCACAACCAGGATTAAGGAAGGAAAAGAAGTCCTGATGGCGCTCCGTGGCGCTGCGCAGACTGCTGGGCACCGCTGGTCTGCGCACAGCGGCCCCGGCCCCGCACCTGTGTGCAGGCGGATGTGCACTTTGAGGCTCCCGGACGTGGAGAAGCTCTTCAGGCAGTACTGGCACTTGAAGGCCTTGATGCCCGTGTGCGTCTTGATGTGCGCGGTCAGGGTGCTCTTCACCGCAAAGGCCCGGAAGCACTGCGGGCACTTGAAAGGCTTCTCATGCGTGTGAATGCGGATGTGGCGCACGAGGTCGCTGGGCTTCCGGAACTCCTTGGTGCAGTAGGGACACACGTGCCACCGGACCCCGTTCTCCTCGCGGATGGAGCCTGCAGCGCAGTGAGACAAATGGTGAGATGCCAGGTATCAAGGCGCCTAAGTCCCTCTAGCGTCCGGTGAACAGCTCCCCACTATTTAAAAGCCCCGATTTTCTTCGCCACAGCGGAAGACACATGATCAATTACGGACATAGTGGAAATTTCCATCGTTACTGCAATTAGTGGGAGTTATGACTTAATCTTTCAGGAAATCCTAACAGCGCCAAGAACGGAAAGCATAGCCTGTACGAGACAAGATGGCTAACTGGACAGGTGATGTGACTAAGTCGAGAGTTAGCTGCAGACTTAGTCCAATGTGAATGTGAATTAAAAGCAGAGATTCCAAAATTGACTCGACATGAGAATGACATTGTACTGTTTGAGCCTATCACTAATAAAAAATGCAAATCATTCAGAAATAAGTCCTTATGCTATAAGAGGTAACATACGTAGTTATGAAAAAGAACATATATAACACAAACGAGTTCCTGGTCAAAATCAAAAGATTCTTTTGTAACTGTAAATATTCAACTCTGAATCAGGTTTAAAACTATTCCTACTAGAAAACAAAATCACAAGTAGAATTTATCAAACCATAATAACCAGAATGATTTGTAAAGTATAAAAAAATTTTAACAAAATTCAGAATCATTTTATTTTTAATTTTGAAAATTAGATTTATACATGTGAAATAGACATACAATGTAAAGAACCCACTTAAAATCAATTAAAGTTAATGAAATTCATCAGGAAACATTAGCTGTTTATGTAACTCTCGTGTCTGTACAGTAAGACCTCAATGCTGACGGTTTGTGGAAACTGTGACTTAAAGTCAAATCACTACAAAGAAACCAACAGCACCCCAAGCTAATGAGTCAGATTCCCATAGCACTTTTCTGGGTCAAAAATATATTGCCAAACTTCCAAATTAAGACCCAACTTATTCTAGTATTAAACAGTGAAATAAATGTAAACTACCATACATTCAAGAAAAATTAACAAAAAACAAGTAAGATAATCCTTTTCCAACACACTGATTCTAGTTCAGGGTGTGGCGGCGGGGAGTTTAGAGTGCAGGTGGGGACCACCCTGGACAGGTTGTCCTTCCAACACAGGGTCACACTCACACTCACGCACACCCCGCTCACTCAGACCGGCAGTGTAGACACACCAGGCACCGCACATCACGTGTACAGCTCTGGCATGTGGGAGGAAACCGGATCCAGAGAAAGCCCACGCAGACATGGGAAAACGCAACCGCACAGACTTGGGGCCTGGCCGGGAATCCGGTTATATTTCCCTCATTAACATTTTAACAAAATGACGTTATTCGAGGATCTGCTGCATGGACGTAGTTTTAGCAGGAAAAAGAAAATCTCGTATTTCCTCCTCCATGCTACCAGTAAATACCAGGAATTCTCCACTGTAAGCATGACTGTAGGGAGAGAACATGTATTTTCCTGAACACATTACTCTTTGCAAGACTAATTAACATAGGTTAGGAAAATGAATGAAAAATAACATTTTATAAAAAGTGAAACAATGGAAATGAGAAGAACACAACCACAAGGAGAAAAAGAGTGTAGGAAACAGGGAAATAATTTCACATTAAGAAAAAGACATTAGTCCATGGTCATATTATTTGTATTAGGGGAGACTAAAACTTAAGACTGCTTAAAATTAATAAGAAAAATTAATTCAAGAAAGTGGAATAATTATCCAAACGTCTTTTCATGACAGATAAAAAAAAAAAAAAAAGCAAGTTATAACAAGGTAAGAAAGAACTATACTATTAGCCAAAATTAGAAAATAATCATGGAAAATCAAATGTTTCCCAAACAAAAATGAGTACCTATCTTAACGTATATGAAGACTGTCACCAGATTCTAATTATCTGAGGGGACAGATGAAGCAGAATTACAAATCTGGCCTACACATTTGCTTGGCCCATCCAGAGCTACAATGGAAAACTGAAGCCAGATCTGGCCCTTTGACAAACTTCAGGAAGATGGAGAAAACCACAGCTGCATTCACCATGGACAACAACCTTCCTCTTCAAATGTATTATCAAATTTTAAAAGAAAAAGTATATATTAAATCACTATTGAGATAAAAAGGCTTTTACTAAAATTCAACATCTAATCTTAACTTTCAAAAAACTTTCTAAAACAGGAGGAGATGAATAAAACATCCCAATACATCTGACTTAATAGAAAAATACTCACAGCAATCCTAATTAAAGTCAGGAAAAAGTCCACTATCATTGCCATTAACTTATGTGTTTACAAATATTAGCCAATGAAATTAGGTAAGATAAAGAGACATACTGTATCCTATATAATAAAGAGGGAATATGCTAGTTGACACTCACACCATCGCAAAGATGGCAGCACCCACAGCCAATAAGGAGGGAATATGCTGATTGCCTGCCAAGCCCTCAAAGATGGCAGGACCCACAGTCACAAGATGATGGCACCCAGTCCTCTGAGCCCCGGCAGAGTGGCAGGTGTGGCCATTCCATATGCTTGCCTCTGGAGTCGCCCAGTCCCCTCAGCCCCCCAGCCACCCAGGGCCACCTGAGGCTTGCGCTGTTGGTAGTGATAGCAGCAGAGGTGTGATCGCCAGGTCACCTCCTGCCCCTGAGGGCTCCTAGACTGTGAGAGGGGGCAGGCCGGGCTGAGGGACCCCCCTCGAATGCATGAATTTTCATGCATCTGGCCTCTAGTAAACTATGAAGGGAAAGATAAAATCATTATTTACAAATGATATGATAACATGCCCCAAAAATAAGTCTCTGAAAAAGGCCCATGTTTTAATACATGGGCTTCAGCATCCTCCATTTCTGCAAACTATACCCAGAAGAAAATTTTAAAATACGACTAAATTTGAAAAAGAAAAGATCTGAATGAAGGAAAGTGCACACTCTATTCTTTGGTACAAAGATTAAAATTATAAAGGCATCAAATCTCCCTAGTTAAATTACTTACATACAATTATCAATAGGACTTTTTTAGAACTACAGTTGTGGAAGTTTAGCAGATGATTCTAAAGTAGATATGGGAAAAATATGTGATAACAGTCAAAACTACACTTTCAAAAAAAGTGTAGCAAGGAAGGACTAGGGCCCTGACTGATTTGGCTCAGTGGATAGAGGATTGGCCTGCGGACAGAAGGGTCCCAGGTTCGATTCCAGTCAAGGGCATGTACCTTGCTTGCAGGCAATCCCAAGTAGGGGGTATGCAGGAGGCAGCTGATCGATGTTTCTTCTCATCGATGTTTCTAATTCTCTATCCCTCTTTCCCTTCCTCTCTGTAAAAAATCAATAAAATACATTAAAAAAAGAAAGAACTGGGCTCCCTATTAACACTAAAACCATTTGGTGCCACAACACATGAGTAAAGTACAATAAAGTCCAGGCAAGCTCACATAGGTTTGAGAAGATAACACGAGGGGAAAGGTGGCGTTGCACTTCATTGAGGAAACCAAAACATAAAGAAATGTGTTTGTACACTGGGTGCTCATTTAGGAACAAAATAAAGTTGAGTCAAAATTTAGTTTAAAATTTCATAAATTAACTGACTTAAACGCACCAATGTTACACATTTTTTATTTTCAAAAGTATATTTTATATAGTAAAATTGAAAGAAAATACTGGCCAAAATAAAAAGTGTCATATAGAAAAATAAAGGGAAAAGGAATGATAGAAATGAGAAATTAAATCTAAAATTTACTAGAACTGCAAAACCTTGCTCAGTACTGTATATGTGTATTTAACTTATTCAAAAATTAACTTGTAGAATCTTTATGAACTTTGTACGCAAAACCCTCCCTATTACAATACCATAGGTAAGGTTGACCAGAACTCCATTCTGAAATCTGTTTAATGCCCAGCACAGAAGAGAAGTTGATCCCAACACCTGGAGAGCTGGGAGAGGCAACAGAATGAAGCCACCTTCCTCAGTTTGAGGAGCTACTGCTACCTGGACTTGCAGGAAGCAGGTCTGGCCTTTAGTCTGGAGAAAGGCCTGATGCCAGCAGCTTGTCAGTGTACCTTCAGAGGTTCTGGCATGACGAATATAGATAGCAGCCAGTGTTAACGCAGATGAAAGGCTCCACCCTCACTGGTGATCTCCACTCATTCAACAGGTGCATGGAGAGTAGATATTCAAAATGCAAGCGCCCTGTGACCTGCCAGGCTGTCCTGTCATAACACAAATATGTGCAAATGGCCCTTTTTCCTTCCTGCCTTCTTCGCTACTAGGAAAATCCTGATGAAAAACTACTCAAATTCCACTGTCCACTTTCGCCTGTGGAAGGGCAGATCCAGGGGAAAGGAGAGTAGGCTATAGTGTTGTGTGGGCTGAGAAAGGAGGATTTCACAACCATCTGTTAACAACGAGGAAATACATTCTCAGAAGTGTACAGAGATGAAAACATCTTTCCACGCTGTGTAGCAAGAGAGCCCGTATTCCCCAAGACAACTGGGGGAGGTAGAGAGTTAGAGCCACTAAGAAAATATTTTCATGGGAAAGCTTCTGCCCAAAAGACAAGAATCTATTTTATTCACGAAAGATGTAGTAACCCTGTCCCTGTGCAAAGAGACATGCTGAGGGAGCAGGGAATTCAGAAAGGAACACAAGTTACTCCACTACCACAACCTCTAACAGAGACCACAGGACGGAGAAAAGAGGGGGGGAGCCCTCTGCAGGGAGCTTCTGTGAGGAGCACCACCAACAGGTGTGTGGGTATGGAATGTGAAGAGGGGAGGGAGAAGGCCTTCCTGATGTAGAGCAGCCGGGAAGCATAGCACGCAGAAGAGGTGAGGCCTTGAGGAGTAGCAGGAGTCCCTCGTTACTGTCAGGTGAATCTGCACCAGGAGAGCAGGGGCAGGAAGATAGGACATACCTGTGGGGCAATTACAGAGGCCCAAAGGCCAAGAAGCAGAGATGAGTGTAAGGGAAAGGTTGGGGCTTTAGAGTAGAGGGGCTGCACTTTCCAGGTCAGCGGGGGTTGCACCGTCACTTAGAGGAAGGAAGGGAAGAGAGGGTGAAGGCAGCCATAGCAGTGTAGCCAGAATGCACAGCCCAGAGGCAAGAAAGGCTAGAGCATAGGAGGGTCAGTGACAACTAAGATCAAGCCCTTGGAATGAGTCAGGGGAGACTCAAATCATGGGACGAAGGCAGCCAATGGAAAAAAAGATAGTTTAACAAATTTATCTCCTGGTTTTCAATTTTAAATATCAAATGAATACTATGAGGTAGATATTATCAAAACATTCAGCAAGCATCACCTTCACAAGAAAAAGAAAGGTATTTCTTCAAAATAAGCAAACATCCCAAGGTTAAAGCTCACTGAAATTACCAGGCAGAAATGGTGATTTCTTCTTTATCAGCTTCTTCTCCCTTTTGTCCGGCTTCTCTAGGCTCTCCTGTTCTTTCTCTGGCTCTGCATCTACAGGGTCTGTTGGCTCACTGGGCACGTCAGGAAGGTCTGGGTCCTGACCCTGCACGGTGGAACTCTTGGGGTGGCTGGCGTCGCTGGGGTGTGCTGCAGCTGGAATTGAAGACAGCCCACTGTTTTCTAAGGCTTGCTGAGACAGAAAAAACTCGAAGGTTAGGAGATCCAATGGCCCAAACCTGCAACCAAGTCAGCCTTATCTACAGAACTGTAATGCTACCACCTAGAAACATAAGTCTGCATTTCCAAGGAGCCATCTGTAAGTGACACAACCAAAGGTTTGAGGCTGACACATCCCTTCTAATATCTGACATCTCACCTCCACCCAAACATGGTATGGCAAGCTTTGGCATTTCCCAATTAAAGGAGATTTTAGTGAATTTATTTGACTTTTAGGTATGTGACCTCAAGACAACTCTGGTTGTCTCTGAAAGGATTTGGAAATAGTTTTAAGTTACACTGGGTTTACTCTTAAAATAGCCGCTGTTGTGACATCTGGCCAACTTGTCCCCACAGGGTGGAGGAGAGGTTAGCTTTAAAGTAAGCACATACTAGAGAGGAGGAGGAACAAGGCCATCTCATTGGACATGAGACTAGCTCATCAGAACCAGGAAAGAACTCCATTCTCCACCCTCCCCTCCTCCTTTATCTCCTCCCCCCCCCCGCCCCCGTGCATGGGACAGACACACACACACACACACACACACACAGCACAGAGCTGTCTCCAAATAGTTACAGCACAACCTCAGGAAACAATGAAACATTTCTATGTCAACAGAGACAGACACAAGAAAGTTCTGAGAAGCCCATTCTTTTAAAGTAAATTTACTTAGAAAAAATTAAGGCTTTAAAAAAAAAAAGGTATAGATTAATAAATCATTTAGAATTCTGCACTGTCCACAAGTCATTAAATAAGCCTATTTTACTTCACTATCACTTATTCAATTAAGACACATTTTCAGTGGAGATTCCTTTACTCTGAGAAGTGCCCTGTATTTCTCTCTCAGTAGCAACACCTGGACTCCCACAGACACAGCCAAGAACTGGAAGTTCACTCACCTGTAGGATGTCCTGGCTGATGCCCACGGTGATGCTGAGCGGCTGACCAGGCGGGGGCACTGGGCTAGATTCCACAGGCTCTGACAGCTCCAGCAGCTGCTGGATGACATCAGTCACCGCCTGTGAACTCTGCTGGCTCACAGCTGATGGGACCTGGGCTTCCGTCTGCTGAAGAGGTAAAGTCTGGAACAGCGTTGCCTGTTATTAAAAAATATAAACAATTACATTAAATTAGTACTTCATTTTTTTTAAAGGAAGAACTTCCCTCTATAAGCATTAAAATCTAGTTCTATCCCAAATTTTAAATATACTGTCTCATTAATGTTTATGTTTTGGCACAATACTGGCTCTTAAAAGATCATATTCAGTGAATTTTCTACTACAAGCATTTAAAGTTTATAAAGTATTAGCAGATACTAGCGATTCAAGATGGGGACTGAGCAAACCTCAGACTCCTGTCACCTATTGGAATGAAAGGATAGAAAGAGTTACAAAATAAAGGAAATAAGAAAGAATCCACTGTGGGCAAAAAAAATCAAAACTCTTCTGGAGAAGAAAAGCATTGGAGGAAGCTACAGCTCAGAACATCTGAGGAGAGGGCTGATCCAATTCCTCAGTAACTCAGGAATCTGAAATGCTTCATCACAAACATGGTGTGGAGCAGAGGAAGGAGAATCAACTCTGGATGCTCCATAATGGTGGATGCAGGACATCACATGTCTGTCAAAACCTACAGCACACACAGCACAGAGTAGACTCTGGCAACTGATAACACACAGCATTCCGCCCTAGATTTAACAAAAGCACCACACCCACACAAGGTATTAGTAAGGAGGGGGAGAATGGACTCCCCTGCTCACTTTTTCTGTAAACCTAAAACTGCTCTAAAAATTATTTTTATAGTCTAATAATAAAGAAAGACTTTGGGAAAACTACTTTGGACTGACAATTAACCCCTGGCTTCCTCCAGTGGAAGAGGGCAGTGAGGCTTTTATCTTCAGGCAAAAACAAAAAAGAGGGGAGGGGGGTCTAAAAGAAATAAAAGTAAACAATGATTTAGGGAGAACCTAAAGCCTTTTGTGGCACTTAGGTCCCCAGACTAAGCACAAAGTCCTTTCTGTGCTGCCTCCAGGGACCCCAAGTTTGAGAACTGGTTCCTTGGCCCATGTCAGGTAAAGGGACCCTGGAGATGAACCAGCTCCATCCTGTGTGAAAAGTTCACATGAGAGTTTGCTGTTGCCTCATTCCAAAATACAAATGGGCACAAGGGTTATAAGAATTACATCTGAGCCGAAACCAGTTTGGCTCAGTGGTAGAGCGTCGGTCTGTGGACTGAAAGGTCCCAGGTTCAATTCCGGTCAAGGGGATGTACCTGAGTTGCGGGCACATCCCCGGTGGGGGGTGTGCAGGAGGCAGCTGGTTGATGTTTCTCTCTCATCGACGTTTCTAGCTCTCTATCTCTCTCCCTTCCTCTCTGTAAAAAATCAATAAAATATATTTAAAAAAAAAAAAAAAAAGAATTACATCTGAAAGAGGGAGCCCTAGGCAGATGATCAGATGATCCCAGGCAGGCGACTCTAGAAGAAAGAGAATTTTTAGAAGGAAAATGCTCATTAGGTTTCCAAGGAAAGTACAACAAACCAGAAAAGCATGTCTTGAAAAAGAAACAAATTGATTATGAAGGAGAGCTCCATAAATTAAAAATTGTACTAGCTAAAAATATCAATTAGAGAATCATAAAATGAAACTGAGGAAAACCCATAAAAGTAGAGCAAAAAGGCCAAGAGTTAGAAAAGCGAAATGCAGCCTCAACCATGTGGCTCAGTTGGTTGAGCACTGTCCCATTTACCAAGAGGTTGCTGGTTCAATTCCTGGTCAGGGCCCATGCCAGGATTGCAGGCTTGATCCCCAGTAGGGAGCGTGCAGGAGGCAGCCAATTAATCTTTCTTTCTCATTGAAGTTTCTACCTCTCTTTCTCCTTTCCCCTCTCTAAAATCAATAAAAACATATTTAAAAAAAGAAAAGTGAGATGCAAAACAAGAGCCACAAAGAACCTAGAGGGTGAACATGGGCTCCCAGGCAGTCCTGAAACTGGCCCGTGCCACAATGCTGAGCCCTCACATTGTCCAACAGAGAAAGAGAGGAAGTGTTCTGATTTCTACAACCCTACACTGCATTTTTAGGTATTTATCAAGATAATTTTTTAAATTATCTGGATTATAATTCCAGATTATCACTACATCTACATATTTGATTTGCCTGTGCCAAAGGAAATGGTGAAAACTTAGTATTTGGTTGATTTAAACACTCAAAATTTCTTAAAAACATACTCAGTCCAAAATAGAATTTTCAGACTTAATTATTAGGCACTAATCATTCCCCAGTTTCAGGACTTATTTACAACGCCCTCTCTGATGGAGAGTGAGCTGAGGTATCAATTCTAAGCTAGGGGTATTATGAGAAAAGAAAGGAAAAAACAAACAGTAACTGCGAACCTGACGCTTAAAGACAAACACTCATGTGGGGCAGGAGGCAGCTATGGAAGCCACAGACTCCCAGCCACGCCCACTGTAAGCACACACCCACACTCTCACACTTCTGTCCAAGGTCTACTGCCATGACACTGCACTGTGCTTAGATTTTGCCATTTACTACAATTGAGAGGTGAAAGTAACAGACTGAGGAGGCTGAGCTATAGAATCCCTCCACACAAAAAAGAGTGTGTGAAATCATACAATTTTAAATACATGTACTGAAATATACAATTTAGTTCCACCAAAATCCAAAGTTTAAGGGAAAATTATCACTGTCACCTTAGGGAGAAATATAGCTTAAACGAATATTTGATTTTTAAATTATAGCATAAGGATAAAGAATATTCACTGGTAATCACCAATAATGTTGCAGGAATTCCAATTCAATAAATTGATGATTCTATTTGTCTTATTTTTATTTCAGGTGATAGTCCATAAATCAGAATCATCTAACACTATTCTATAATTTTAAAGATTGATTGTTTTTTACTAATTAAAAAATAGTAGCACCACACAACCACGTAGAAAAACTTCAAAGCACCTCTATGGCAATAAATAATATTCTAAGTATTAGTCAATTTTAAAGATTATGAGTGAGATGACATATTTTGGTAAAAGAATGTTCTACCAGCCAGCTCACTGTACTTACCGTTAAAACATGAGCAGTCTCTGCAGAGCTCGCGGAGTTCTGTGGCCCACCCATATGCATCTTGCTGATATGAGTGTTTAAGCTACCTAAACTTTTAAATACACAGCTACATTCTGTACAGTTATAGGTAGGGCCATTCTTGACCTTAAAGAATAAAAGAGAAAACTTTATTTTTCATACTTAATTATTAGATAAAAACATTTGAATTGGGACACATAATTGACCATTGCATTAAAAATGACAGAAATAATGGAACCCTTTAAAATTACTTTTTCCTTTAAATTAGATAGCTCTAGAATAAATGACCCAGTTCTTTGATCAATATTGTAGTATGAGATTAAATGAAATATCAGTCTTTTTTATATTAGAGTAAAAAAAAAAGTAGTTATCAGTTATTATAATTTAGTAAGAAGATATCTGATGTATGTTCTCAATTTCCTAAAGGGTTGCACACAGCCTGAAATAAAGGCTAGACAGACATAGATATAACTCTGACTGAGTATTCATGGGATAAAGTGCACAAGTTAGGAAGGATGGTCAAATGGTAGGTGACTTGTCATGGTCAGTCCCAGCACTGCAGGGGAAGGCAGGAAATGAAGAGGCAGGTCCAAGCACCTATTCTCTCACCATCATCAAGCCCACCTCAGTTATTAGATTATGGTGGCTACCTTAAACTTATCTAGATAAGACTTTCAGTCTATTCCTAACACCTTGTGAAGAGATTCATCACAGGACTGAATAATATTCAGCAACTAATCTTTAGAGGAGGTTTCTGGAGCATCTCAGTCTATCCTGCTACAGTGTCTCATGGCTGTGCTGACAGTCACCTCTGCAGCCCCGTAAGCAGCTGCACACCTGGGAACCCCACAGCCCACAGGCCCGGCTTACCTCCGAGTGCACTCTCTGTACGTGAGACTGCAGGTTCCCCTTCTGAGAAAAGGCAGCAGGACAAAAGGCACAGGCATGGGGCTTTTCACCTGTGTGCTTGATCATGTGGGTCTGCAATGCCCCCTTCTGGTTAAAGGCTTTTCCGCATTCACTGCACTTAAAGGGCCTTTCACCTAGGGGAGGGGAGAATGGACACAGAATTGTGAGAGCCTCTGACGGATTAAAACAGAAATACTTCAGTTGCCAGACTCAGGACCCAAACATCCTTCCAGCTAGAACATCCTCTGTGACTGCAGACTCAGATATCCAATTGCCTACCCCAAAATCTCAAAACTGACACCCAGATTACACAGAAAACTATGGAAATGCCAAAGTTAAATTCTAGGTCTAGCAGGCTCTGGGCACATTTCTTTCCTATGCACCACATCATGAGTCATCCAGAGGTGGCATGTTCCATACCTGTGTGTATCCTGATGTGTCTAGTGAGCTGGCTGGGCTTCTGAAACGTCTTTCCACAATGCGGGCATGAGTATGTGAATCCACTCCTGTCGACATTCCGATTGTATGACCTTGTACTTGACATCCTAGTAAAATAAAAGGGGTGCTCATGAAAAATCTTTCCAGAAAGGTTAACTGGCTGCTTCAGTGAAAAGTCAATCCCATATAAGTGTGTGTGTCCCCACCCACACATACGTACATACATACATGTATTAGTTTTCTGTATCCAATATCATAAAATTCATTTTTCCAAATGTAATGACAGAAAAACAGTTAGTGTTTGAGATGGAATGCCTCTCACAGACAAGCTTCACTTGTGATGGTCAGACACCAAGGTCTGCACAGCTGTAATCTGTACCTCCACTTGCTCCTCTGCTACTTCTTCCTGTCCCTTCATTTCACACCACCTGATAATGGTGATCTCCCAAGTCCTACTTTCAACCACTCTGACTCCTCCACTGAGCACCAACCCCCTACCTCTAACTCTGCTCAACCTCCGGGGATGGCTCATGGTGGCTCAACTCCTGTGTGTCACAAGCAAAACTCTTCCTTTATTCCTAGCCTGCTCCTCTCTGGGACTGGAAAGGGCAACCCCCAATGGGCAAGTTTAAGCCTGGGGAGTAGGGCCCATGCTTCCCTCTCTCTAACCCTGACTTCAAATGCGTCTCCAAAGGCTGCTGGTTCCACCCCAGAACATCTCCAAAGATGTGCCCCTCTCCAATGCTGTCTTCCCGCCGTGCTGATTCAGTGGTCTGCTGCTTCAACCCCACCACAGGCAGCCACATCACACCTAAAGTCAGGGCAGGCCATTCGGTGACTAAAACCCTCTGATGGCTTCCAGCGTACACAGGATAAAAGCAAAGGCCCCAAAGTCCCAGGCCCTGTGTCCTTCAAACTCAGCCACAGCACCTGCCTGGCCTGGTGGGCTCTCACTGCCCAAATCAATGCGATTTTACTTCCTTCTCAATACAACCACCTTCTGAAATGGTTGCACTGACTGATTCTTTCACTTTGTCCTTACCAGGCACATGTTTAAACCCTAATAGTCTATTTTAGAGCTCATAATATTATAACCATGCCAATATTTAAATACACACTTACATCTGCAAATTGGAGACCTACAAGTACCATGTCTTGACATATATGCTTCTACATGTGTGCTAAGCACCCTGTCAGGCTCCTGTAAATTGTAAAGACTGAGACAGTATAAATAGATCAATGCATTAAAAAGGACCTAAACTGACCCTCACTGATCCACTCTACACAATGTTACCTGCCTGTAAAAAACAACACCAGCACATTGTTCTATAGTTTCAACATTAAAATACTGGCTAAAACTGTCTACCCACCCAGCCTGGCACCTGTTTTTAGTTTTTTAGCACAATTTTCCTATTGTAGATATGAGCTACACATTATAAAAGACATCCTGACACTACACCAGATTAGCCAATATTTTTAACCAATCACAACAAAATTTGCCAATTCTTAATACGTTCTACAGATTTTTTCCCCAGCCCAGGTAGAGGCTCATACCTAATTTTGTAATGATTCTTCATGTGCTCCTTCAGCTGCACTGCCGTCTCGAACTCCTTCCTGCAGGCCTTGCAGGTGTGGGCCCGGCCCCCAGCCAGCTCCTGGCGGTGCTCCTCCATGTGCAGGGCCAGCTGGCTCTGCAGAGTGAACTCATCCCCACACTCGGAGCAGATGAGGTTCTGCAAAAGAAACACCATCCGTGAGCACAGCTAGTATTGAAGACGGTCTACATGCAAATTATATTTTCCTCTGGAACAGATGCTATACTCATCTCACAAAAGCCTAATATGCTAAGTGTCTGGTCAGCTGGTTGGCCGTTCAACCAATCAAAGCATAATATGCTAATGATATGCTAAAGTCGCCAAACTGCTCACTATGATGTACACGGACCACCAGGGAGCAGAAAGTTGACCAGTCAACTAGTCGCTATGACATGCACTGATCACCAGGGGGCAGACACTCCAACTGGTAGGTTAGCTTGCTGCTGGAGTCCAGCCTATCATCATCGAGACTGAGCAAGATGGGCCAGACACACCTGGAGCCCTCCTGTGGCACCTCCCACCATCCACCCCACCCCTGATTGGCCCTCAACACTCCAATCAGGGGGGAAGGTGGGCTGGCCAACCACCTGAGGCATCCCCCCCCAGCTGGCCCTGCCCCTGATAGTTCCCCATCTGGGCGGGCATACCAGATCCCACTCATGCACAAAGTCATGTACCAGGCCTCTAATGTCTAAATATGAAGATTTAAAAACATTTTATTTTTTTTGGTTGGTAGAAAAAGATAGAAACATAGGGAAAAGGAGGAGAGAATAGTACAATTTTTGAGCAAAGTAAATTGTTTCAAGTTGGCTGTTGAATGACTGGCATTTTGTCAGTCTATGTTATGAACACTCTACAAAATGGCGACAGCACAAAAGGGTCAGGAGAGAAGTTAAGATTATAGATTGATAGACCACCTCCAAAGAAAAGGGAAGCCGATAAAGTTTTTTTTCTTTCACTTGGTGTGTAGGTAGTTGATTACAGAAAAAATCTGGCACTCTGTCCAGATGTGGCCCGCTGAGCACCTGAAACAGGTGGTCTGAACAGGGCTGTAGAGGAAGTATAAAATACACAAAATATTTCAATGACTTACTGGAAGAAAAAAAAGAGCTCAAGCACTTTAATATTTGAATTATAATATTTGGATATATTTTTATAATATATTAAAATAAAATTTATGCTTTTATTATTTTTTAATATGGCTACTATAAATTTTAAATAACTCATATTTCAATTATGTAACATGACAGCTACATGCACCTTTATGGGTTAACCACTCCATGTCCGCAAAATAGGGACATTGTTACCCTGCTCTCACCCAACATATGAACTGCAGGGAAGTGAATGTGTAAGAGGTGAACAGCATGGACAGAAGAAGTCCTCACTATGACTTGAACAGTAGAAACTGCCAATCTAGCACAAGATTCAGTGAACTCACTCAGGAGAACTCACGAGAATTGGTAACATAACTGTTTACTTAGACGATTCTCAAAATGAACTGTCCAAAGATGAAAAAGAAATGAGTGTAACCTAACAATGGCATAAACTGTTATTCTCAAATAACAAAATATACAGCTATTTCTTTCCACTAGTGTTTTCTTTTCTTTTTTTTTTAATATATCTTTATTGATTTCAGAGAGGAAGAGAAAGGGAGGGAGAGAAAAACATGATGAAAGAGAATCATTGACCAGCTGCCTCCTGCACACCCTCCACTGGGGACCGAGTCCGAAACCCGGGCATGTGCCCTTGGCTGGAATCGAACCTGGGACCCTTCAGTCCACAGGCTGACACACTATCCACTCCACCAGTGTTTTCTAAGTACTGTACATAGTCTTAGAAATGTATGTAACCGACATTAAAATAAGGTTGCTCATCGACACTACTCAGAGCATCCTTTGCAGAAAAGGACCAGGTTGGCTGAAACCAGTTTGGCTCACTGGATAGAGCATTGGCCTGCCGACTAAAAGGTCTCATGTTTGATTCCGGTCAAGGGCATAATACCTTGGTTTCAGGCACATCTTCAGTAGGGGGTGTGCAGGAGGCAGTTAATCTATGTTTCAAACTCTCTATTCCTCTCTTCCTCTCTGTAAAAAAAATCAATAATATGGATGAGGTTGGTCCTAGCCAGTTTGCTCAGTGGAAGGGTCCCAGGTTTGATTCCATTTAAATGGCACATACTTCAGTTGCAGGCTCAATCCCTGGCCCTGGTGCAGAAGGCAGCCAATCAATGTTTCTCTCTGTCTCTCTCCTTCCCTTCCACTCTCTCTGAAAATCAATGGAAAAATGTTCTCAGGTGAGGATTAACAAAAAAAGCAGAGTGACGATGAAGGAAAAATATTTTGAGCAATCCATAATGATTTCAACTAAATAACTTTAAATTGGTATTATTATATAATAATTTAAGAAACTAATAAATTATTAGATTGTCAGTATCTTGTTGAAAATAAAAAAAAATTCTTTCTAAGAAACAATCAAAAAGAAAAGAAAAAACAACCTAATATAATTTGCTGCACCTTTTTTTGAAAAATCACCTCTGAGCTTCTGAATTTTTATGGCACCACAAAAGGGTCAGGAGAGAAGAATTACTCAAACTATTCATTTTCCACCGACAACTCTAAGTCTCCAGTCTCAGTTGTGAAATAAAACTGGACTCTTTATCCTCCTTTTCCCACCCTTACTGTTTTATTGTTCTGGCTCAAATCCATCTGCTTTTTACTTACTATCTTACCTAATGATCAGATTAGTAAGTAAGAGCTATAATCAGAGATTTGTCAGAATTATTTGAGTAAAAACTGCTTTGTGAGCAGTTTGCTCATACAGAGAACACAGGGGGAAGTATACCCAGAGCCACAACCAAAACAGGCCACATAACAGAAGTTTCATCACTATAACAGCCTTACTCTTTGGGGAAAGGAGGTTGTGCCTCAGGGGCAGCTAACAGATTTCCACCTTATCAGTCAGAGTTATACCAAGTCCTCCAGGCTGGAAGCAGAAGCTGGTGTCTACCCTAGACAGACTGTTCTAGGGTAATTTCAATGAGTGCTAAGTGGCAAGCTGACTTCATGGAGAAAACACATGCACTCTAGTCAGATCCCATCAACATATAACTGAAAGACCTCCAAATTATATTAATAAAATCTTAAAAATTTAAGAATAAATTAAATAATGCACTGAATCCATATGAACAAAACATTACTGAGTGATGTTTTGATGATAAAGATTCAGTTTTGCAAACATGTTCAATTCTCTCCTGAAACATTCTAAAAATTTTATGAACCAAAAAATTCATGTTTAAGTAGGCAAAATTCTAAAGTTCACATTAATAATAAACCAGAAAAGGAAAATAAGGAAAATAAGAAGTACACAAACAATTGCTTATCATTCCAAAGAGAAACAAGACAAACCAGAAAATCAAGGTAGTCCCTCGCCAGGCAAGGCCCAGCAGAGGGGACAGAAGGGACAGACTGCTCTTTGTGTCTTCTAAGAGGAGGTTAATCTACCCTTGCTTTAATCAGACTATAAAATAACGCATCAGCTTGCAGGCTAGGTCTTTTGTGTTCTCATCCAGACATGGGAGATCTACCAAGCCCTAGCTGTATTCTCATCTGTCTCTTCTTCAATCCTTCACCACCCCTCCTCAGGTTCACCGTTGGCTGTGCTGGTGTGGCACATAAATTGATAGAACTTCTTTGGAGATAATTTGGCAAGATTATCCAATTCTGAATTTACATTCTCTCTGACCAAGCAATTCCATTTCTAGGAACTGGATCACTGTGTGTGTGCTGGGAAGGAGAGGAGGGCTATGCACTGAAGGGCCTTCTGGAGAATCTCTGGTCACTAGATGCCTGCAGCACTGCACCCCTTCCCCATAGCAGTGACAACCACAATGTCCTCTGGGTACAAAGTTGCCTGCCTAGGGAACATTTGCTCACGTGGCTCTGTTTGCACCAGGTTTACCACAGTGGAAAACAACCTATTATACATGTCTACCCACAGTGACCTGTGTCCACAGCGTCACACCATGTGGGTGTTAAATCTATGACCAGCAGGTTTTGTGTAACATCATTTATGACAGTTGACTGAAGAAAAAAGGCACAGAATAACAGGGCTGCATGGAGGGAGTGCAAGGGAGCCTGGGCATCACAGAGTACCCTGTGAGGACTGGAATCTCTGGTGATGTAGACTCAACTGTCCCCAAATTACACATGCATTACCCATACAATAAGATTTAAAAGATAAATAAATGATTTTATATAAAAAATTAAAGACATACAAAAAATACACAAGTCTACACAGAAAGTAAGGACTCAATTTTTAGGATGGGAATTTTATGTATGTAATTTAAATACTATATTTGTTTCTCTGTCTCAGGAGAAAAAATATACCAAACAGTTATCTGAAATTAGCCATGGGAGATAAAATTACAGGTGTCTTTCACATTCTCCTCCTTACTTTTTTGCATTTCCTAATTTTCTACAATAATAATCAGGGTGGGGAGGTAATATTTTAAAGCAACAGCCATTTATACTTGAAACTAGTGGCCTGGTGCACAAAATTCATGCACAGAGCGGGGATTCCCTCAGCCCACCCTGCACCCTCTCCAATTGGGGACCATTTAGAGGATGTCCCACAGGGATCAGGCCTAAACCAGCAGTTGGGACATCCTTCTCACAATCTGGGACTACTGGCTCCTAACCACTCACCTGGCTGCTTGCCTGATCGCACCTAACTGCCTCTGCCTGCCTGTCTGATTGCCCCTAACCCCTCTGCCTGCCTACCTGATTGCCCCTAACCTCACTGCCCTTAACTGCCTTTGCCTGCCTACCTGCCTGCCTGCCTGCCTGCCTGATGGCCCCTAACTGCCCTCCCCTGCTGGCCTGATCTTGCCCCCAACTACCTCTACATGCCTGATCATCCCTAACTTCCCTCCCCTGTAGGCTTGATCTCATCCCTAACTGACCTCCTCTGCCAGCCAGTTTGGTTCTGATTGGTCAGTTCCTATGCCAGTCAGCTTCTCTGGGCCTATCAACGGGGCCTGATCAGAAAGGCAGGGCTGATCAGCAGCCCTGCTGGAGGCCTGGAGAGAAATGGAGGTATGGCTGCTGGCCCAGCCCAGAGAGAAAGAAAAAGGCAAGTGCTGATCAACAGCTGCCACACAGGCTACGGATTAGACCCTGCTTCTCTCTTCAGGCCTTTCTCTGGGCCTGATTTGCAGCCCCCTCAGCAGTCAGCGCTGGGGCATAGTGCCTGCTGCTGCAGCGCTGACTGCAGGACTGACTTCCAGTTGGTCAAGCCTCCAGTAGTGATGGACCCAGGGTTTTTATATATTAGGATGAGGCCCCACTCCTAGCAACAGCAACACAACCCAACCATCCTATCAGTTATGGATTGCTCACTCGGTGTGTAACTGCTGTGTGTCATCACAAATGCTTTCTATATATGCTCCCAAATGCACACAGGTGAGGGGATCCCTAAGCATCTTCACAAGCAGAACATTTACTTTTGGCCATTACCGATTTCTACTAAAGTTAATTTCTGTTTTAAAAAAAGGGGAGGGGAGAAGGGGACTTTTCTAGCCAATGCAGACATATTTTGATTCTCCAAATACACATTAAGTGTCTCTACCCCAACTGATATGGCAGAAAATAAAAGGTTTCATCAGTGAACTGGAAATCAGCCAAGGCAAATTTAACATTCACTCCCTGAAATCTACATGAAAGGCTTTGTAAACTAGTTTATACCTAAGGTCCCCCCACAGATTAGAGGCCTTTTAAGAATCAGTTAACAGAGGGCAGGCCAAAATATTACCTCTTCCTTCTCATGCAGCATGATGTGCGCTTTGAGGCTGGCCACTCTGGAGAACTTCTTGTTGCACACAGGACAGGTCGGGTCCTCCCCATTGTGGGTACATCTGTGCAGCGTCAGGTTGAATTCAACATTGAATGTCTGGGGGCACTGGTCACAGCGATGTGGCTATTGGGAGAGAACAGTCAAGAAGTCTCTGAAATACAATCTTTCCACAGTAAACAGCATTCAAATATTAACAAGTACTATGATCTACAATCTTTCTAAGAAACTTCCAAGTCAATAAATCCCACACCAACACATAAAGTTCCTTAGGGAATGTCTCAGGGGTGGTGTGGACCACACCCGTCCAGGCAGGAGGAGGGTTCTGGTAAGAGAGCTGCACCTCGGTGTGCCAGGGTATGGGCTCTCTGATGATAAAATGAAGGGGCTTCAGCCGGGACTGGTTTGGCTCAATGGACAGAGCGTCGGCTTGGGGACTGAAGGGCCCTGGGTTCGATTCCGGTCAAGGGCATGTACCTTGGTGGCGAGCATATCCCCAGTAGGAGGTGTGCAAGAGGCAGCTGAATGATGACTCTCTCTCATTGATGTTTCTAACTATCTCTCTCCCTTCCTCTCTGTACAAAAATCAATAAAATATATATATTTTTTTAAATGAAGGGGCTTCACACTGGCGCAATTGTCCCTCTTCTTCCAACCAACTCCACTGCTGTCAACAGAATCACTTCAAGTAAAATAAGAATCATAAGAGTTTTACTGGACTTTAACGGAGTTGCTTATCTCAGTCTAAAATGTTCCCCAAATGGAAGGTATTCTGCCACTTTACATACAAAAAGAAAAAGTAACCGCTGGCATTAATTTCCCTCTGAAATATCAAGGCCCTAATAAGGACTGAGTCAGTATTTTCAGATTTTCCCCACGAGTGGTATTAGGATTATGTTATCACTCACAGGAACAGTAAAGCGCAGCTGGTCAGGCCCTGGCTCCAGAAAAGAGAGCTGGTATGCTCTGGTCTCACAAGGCTGACTAGCTCATGTTCTCCTCCCTAATGGAAAGTCATAATCACTTTCTCATTGCCGTTTCAACTGTCACTTTCTGTCTATCAAGCAAAACGTCCCATTAAGACACTAACATTCTCATCACAGGCCCCGGCAAGAAAGGGTACAAATCTCTATGTAAGAGAGCATGCTCCCTGCTGACGTTCGATCTAACATACCTGGACATCATTTTACAATGAAGACACTTAAAGGTAATTGCCCTACCAGAGAAAAACACATCAGCATGTACCAATTCTGTGTTCATAGAGGAAACAGAAACTACTAGAGAAGGGCATGCTTTAAGAACTTCCATACACAGACTCGCTAGACAATTTCTCACTTTCCCTCGTGTTCTCTTAATGGCTAGGAATACAACTACAGCTAAAAATATGTTCTTATATAATATACAATGCTCCACAATTTAGGAATCTAAATTATAGGAAATAATTTCAATTCACAGGTGGATGTTTACACCACCTCCAGTTTCAACGCTCACATTTCTGATGCCCCTTTTAAAATACTTACCTTGTCATTTCGCTCGTGATCCCTCATGTGGCGTTGAAACTGGGACTCTTTTGGAAAAGACAGTAGACAGATTTCACATTTATGGAAATTTGGAACTTGATAGGCATAATTGGTGTTCTCCGCATTCAATGTTAACACTCCATCTATAAAATTGCATAAGTATAGATAATAAATAACAGTTGTTATTCTCATTGCATAAATAAAATTATTTGGTTGTTTAGAAACCAAATTATGTCAAAACTTTATGAGAATTTTAAATGACATTAGTGACATCCTGAATTTTTTAAATGGGCATGCTTTTAGGTTACAAATGAGAAATGTTAAGAGGACTGAGCTGCAGAATCCTAAATTCTTCTCAGTAGGACTTTGGGAAACCTAAAACTCAACTCTGGAGACCTGACACCCACCCGCAAACATACACCAAAGCCACAGTGTTGTACCCTTGCCAGCTGCTTCCAATTTTTTCTAAGTCACTATAGATCCTGGGAGCATTTCACTTTTAAGTCACCCTGAGAGGTCATCAGGCACACAGGTTCCTAAATCACTCAGCAAACAAACTCCAGTCAAAATATAAATGCTAGTTCATTAATTCAATCTACCTCTGAAAACTGCATAGAAGCAAGAATAAGTCAACAAGAGCAGAAACTGTTCCCTCTGATAGTTTTGGTGTCAGAAGATAGAGGGCTGCAAAGCTTTGGACAATCCCCAGTGTGCTTCGCAAATGTGTTTCTCTAAATCCAGTTGGGTAACAGCTGTAAATTTAAAAGTATTTTCAAATAAGAAAAACTATGGCCAGGCCAGTGTGGTTCAGTGGTTGAGCATTGACCTATGAACCAGGAGGGCATGGTTGATTCCCAGTCAGGTCACATCCCCAATAAGGGGGCATGCAAGAGGCAGCCAATCAATAATTCTCTCTCATCATTGATGTTTCAATCTCTCTCTCCCTCTCCCTTCTTCTCAGAAATCAATAAGAATATTTTTTTTAAAAAAACTATGAAATAATTATTGACATTTGTCAATGATGTCATAAAGATGTCATAAATCTCTCTACTTCTCCCACCCTCTCTGAAATCAATGGAAATATATATATATATATATATATATATATATATACATATATATATATATATTACTAACGATATATATATATTACTAACTATATATAGTAAATAGGTCACATAGCAAATTTGACCCAAAAATATTAGAATTTAGAAATGTATTAGTACAGTAGAGGTTATGTTAAAGACTCAAGTAAGCTCCAGAAAGCCTTGTATTTCTCGAACACCCAAGTGCTGACAGGCATTCCACACCTCTTTTGAGTAAACAGCCTGCAGTTTCAACTCTGGCCAGCACTCCTTGAGTCTGCTGTAGCATCTTCATGAGAGCAGGAATTGAAATCCCCAGGACAGAGGTAGGGCAAGGACTGAAGAGAGTTGGCAACAGTTTCAAAAATTCTTCTATCAGAATAGCCAGTAAAGCAAACTCCAGTTTCCAGAAATATTAATATAATTTTTTAAATTAGATATATAAAAATATATCTAATGTTTATTCTCTTCGTTCTTAACTATATCCACATTCTATTCTAAAACCTGCTTTCAAAATTCTTGCACTAAATTAATGTACTGCCAAAAGTGAAAGCCACCAGTGAGGCCTTTTGGTGACATTTCAAGTAAAATTCTACAAGGCAGAGTAAGTGGATGCTGCATGGACATGCTCCCAGGAGCAAATTGGTATTACAACTAAAATAAAGAAAAACTTGCTGAATAATCAACAGAAAATGCGCAGGAAAGAACCCTGATACCCGAGGACCCAAAGTAGAGACCGCATAGAGACTGGTAAAGGGGCAGAAGGGCTGGCTGGGTACCCACAGACAGCAACTGAAGTCCTGGAGAGGTATCTCAGCTGTGGGGAGTTGCCACTGTGAGGGGTTGCCCCTGAGATCTCTGGAATCTAATCCCCAAGCTGAGCCCCCCAGTAGAGGAGGGTACCCACATAACTTCTGGCTATGAAAAGCAGCAGGGTGCTATTTGCCAAGGACTAGCAGCTGATAATACAGGCACCCTCTTAAAGGGCCAACGCACAAAATTCCCTGTGGAGCCACCCACCTTGTACTCCCGCAGAGGGAGGGTGACGTGGACTGGAGCTGTGAGAGAAGCCAGGACTGGGGACTTGGGGGATAGAGCTCAGAAGGCAGACACCGAGTTCCCACGCAGCAGAAGACATCTATCCCACAGAGACATTTACCTTTGCCAGTGGGGAAGACAGTAGACACACTCTATTGGAAAACACCTTGCCCAGAGGCCATTTAAGAGATTAAAAATAACAATTAGCCTCAAGGCAGAAGAAACTACCCTACCCTGTTGAAAAAAAAAACAAACAAAAAACAAAAAACTCTCAACACACCTGAGAATGATTGCCTGGGGCAATTCAAGTTAGAATCCTACCAGTCCATGAGCAGAGGCAGTCTCCGGAGGCTTTTAGTCTATGCCTGATCTACTAGGTCAATGGTCAGCAAACTCATTAGTCAACAAAGCCAAATATCAACAGTACAATGATTGAAATTTCTTTTGAGAGCCGAAAACCGACTTCTTCGCAAGGACCACGAAGTTTCAATCGCACAGTACGTACATGCCCACATGTGGTATTTTGTGGAAGAGCCACACTCAAGGGGCCAAAGAGCCGCATGTGGCTCACAAACCGCAGTTTTCCAACCACTGTACTAGGTGTACTGGTTAATAATTGGAATTTTGTAATAAAAAAACACACAATAATTTCAAGAGAAACATCAAAAGTGCTTTATTCACATATAAATACAACCAATGGACACAAAACTCTGGGGGAGGGGGCAATGTTAAAATATGTACACAGATAACGATTTAATAAATTTTTAAAAGTGCTTTATTCAAAGTAATGTCCATCACTAGCTATACATTTCCCACATCTTTAGGTAATTTGTGGATAGCATCCTAATAGAACTTTTCTTGTTTTGAGGCAAAAATTAAGAGACGCAATTTTTCACTTCTTTGTTAGTTTTTAAGTACTGCTCAGAAAGTGTGGTGTCATCGATTGGAACAAGTGGTAATCTGAAGGACCAAGGCCTGGTGAATAGAGCAGGTGGGTTAAGACTTCCCAGGCAGGATTTTTTAACGTGTCTTTAACTGGTTTTGAAGTGTGTGATGGTACATCATCATGAAGCAAATTATTTTGCCATGTCTTCTGGAACATTCTGGTCATTTCACAATCAAAGCATGGTTCAAATTAATTATTTGTTGTCTGTAGTGATCAGTATTAACAGTTCCACCGGGTTTTAGAAGCTCATAATACACCACACCTTCCTGATCCCGCCAAGTGCAGAGCATTGTCTTCTTTCCGAAGCAATTTAGCCTTGAAGTTGATCTTGAAGGTTGACCTGGATCAACCCAGGATTTTGTGCATTTGGGATTCTCTAAATAAATCCACTTTTCATCTCCAGTCACTATTTGACACAAAAAAGACTTTCTTTTGTGCAGTTAAAGCAACATTTTCCTGATGACTTTTCAGTTTTCCACTTGTCTATCATTCAGTTGATGTGACACCCATTTTTCTTCTTTTAAAATCTTCATTGCTTGTAAACGATCAGAAATTGTTTGCTGAGCAACGTTTAATCTTTCTGCACGTTTTTAAATTGGCGCGCATCTTCATCCAATAATGCTTGTATAATTATTGGTCTTCGAACTTTTTTGGTTGACTTGGACATTATCTTTCACATAAAAACCATCACTTTTAAAGCATTTAAATCAGCATTCACAAGTATCTTGAGATGGAGCATGTCCACCATAAGCTTCCCGAAGTATTCAACAGCACTTTTCTTCAAAATAAATGAATTAAAACTTCCTCCAAATGCTTTGTCACAAAATTTGACATTTTTAAGCATAAAAATATCTGTTAACACCTTCAGAAAAGTTGGCATTTGAAGTTTTGAAGTTGTTGTCAATAAAACAAAATAGCATACATATCAAACCGCATATATATCAACATATGTATAACTCCATCTATTGGAAAAAATTCACATTATTAACTGATACACCTACCGTGTTTCCCCGAAAATAAAACATCCTCCGAAAATAAGATCTACTTACAGGTTTCCTTCTGAGTGAAATATAAAGGCAACCCCCCAAAAATAAGGCCCCCCTAGGCTTGTCTCAGAATGAAAATTAATTTACCGTAAACTGGTCGCTAGGGCCGCCCTGACTAGCGTCTAGCAACCAGTGACGTTACTCGGAATCCTGAAGTCACTGCTGTGTGGAGGCAGAGCAGAGGTCAGAGTGAGCAGTGAGCGTGGGGCAGGAGAGAGGAGGAGACTTTCGCAGATGCGTGTAGAAGAACAGGAGGATTAGAGCGGATGGGACGCGGCGAAGTTGGTGAGTGCTGGTCTCTAGTGACACTACCTGATGCTCGCAGCCGCCCTCATGATGACTGAAGGTTCTCAGTCAGTGGCAGACCCTGCTCCAGCCCAGATCCAGTCCCCAGCAAGCCCAGTGACAGTCCCCAGGCAGGCCCCAGGGGGTAGATGTCTGATAAAGGGGTAAGGGGGATGTCTGGTGAAGGTGTTCAATGGCACAGGGGTGAGGGAGGGGGATCACTTAAAATGACACAGGAGGATCAGAGGAGGCAATCAAAATAACACAGGAGGATCAAAAAGGGTTACTAAAATGGTAATTCCCCCTCTGTGCCATTTTGATTTCCCCCTTTCATCCCCCCTGTGTCATTTTAAGTGATCCCCCTCCCCCTACCTTGATACCCCAATTCCTTTTTTTTACCCCTAGAAATGAGCGCAAAAAGAAAAAGCTACTCCCTGCAGTACAAGAAAGGAATCGTGGAAGACTCTTGGGACCAAAATCTTACTGCTTTCTGCAAAGAGAAGATGTTGAGTATCCGATTGGTCCAAAAATGGCGAGCAAGTGGACAAGGGAAATGCTAAAAAGCGCAAGTGTGGATTAGGTCGACAACCATTATTTTCCAAGTTGCAAGACCTGATCTGTGAATGGGTTGTTGACAGGAGAGCAGAGGCTTTGGTTGTGAATAGGGCTCAGATTCAAGAATTTGCCCTTGCAATGGCACCACAGTTTGACATAGCCCCCGAAGACTTTAAAGCATCACAACA